GTTAATTGCAGTCACGTCTTAAAGAATGTGGCTCACTGTTTCTCCAACATATTTACTTACCTTACCCTTATGTGCAACCAGCTATTCAGTATACAAAAAATAGACGAAACAATTTTTCCCCTTTCTATGTGCGAATTCAAAGAAGAGAGGATTTGAGCTGCATACTAAATCCTCTGAAGTGTCATTGATGGTCATAACTAACCGCTAACAGCACAAGTCATCCCGAACAAGCGGTATTACAAACATCTTGAAAATAATATTTTACGAGAACGTATATTTGGTGACTTGGTTCATCAAACGAAGAATTTCGAGGCCCCAACGGCAACTTAACCGTAAACGGGAAGTGTGAACTAATAGTATTAAGGCCGGTTGGGAATAAAATTTGAGACGATAGAGTGAAAGAAGGGTTAAAACTGGCGGATCAAAAAGTAGTTTGACGGGAATGAAGGGAAAACTGTCGGAATCATTAAGATAAGAGGCGCGTAACAAGTAAATGATTTTGGCCAACTTTCATCTGTCGTCAGCGTCATTTTTGTTGCGGATGATCTTGGGCCCTACTTTGGATTAACGTCAGACCGGAGAACAATAATGGTATGTTGACCGCTTTGGTGTACGATAATAAACTGTGGTTGTCGAAAATGCGCACCCGGAGGACCAGGAAAGCAGGTACTTGATTCCAATTGACTTACGATGGCCATTCTCAGAGAAAGTTATTTTTATGGACCATGTTTGTTAGAAGTCTGTTGAAAACATTTTCATGCTTGAGGAGCTTTTTAGATCACAGAAGGGACAACAAACGCGAATTATTTCAGAGGGAAATTATGCGGGAAGGAAACTGCAAGACACCAACATAACATTCCTTTCTCCGAAAAATTGCAGCAAAGTGCTCTAGCTCGTTCGTTTCTGTTTCGCTGATTGAATGAAGACAGACGTTTTCATTTGCTTCTAATCTGAATCTATTTCAATGAAGTGCACACATTTGCTATCATTAAAGCCAAATGTGGATGGCACCCGATCTACCCGGATGATGGGCAGGTTGAGGAGATTTATGTAGAACAGTATTACGGAGGAAGAATTTAGGAGGCACTCCGTATGGACTTTCCTGACTTAGTTATTTTTTAGGCGCGGTCCGAAATTTGATATGAATATTTGAGCTGAAATCTATTAGCTACTACGAAATTACCGCGTAATATTCACAAACTGCCAAGGGACAGCCAGTATTATGGAACTTTGTAATTATTTACCGTGCTGGAGTTCATACGCCAGAAACCACAAAGGGGAGGCTGGGAGACCCACTGATAAGCCTACCCCCTCGCAGCTGCGCCAGGCAGCGACATAAGATCGGCGAAACATGCGTGTCTGGGCTTTTAGCTATTACCTGTGCTGTAGTATGATAAATAATTACACAATCCCGACTTATTCATCGTTGTCAGCCACCCAACAATCTTAGGTAGTATAACTCGAGGGTTGCATTCGGATCCTATGGCGATTAGGCCTAACGCAATGCCAAGCAAAATGGAATTAAGTTTTTTCAGTTGCAGTCGGGGATACTTAATGTTAAGTGATAAAACGTAGACCAGAAAAACCTGAACGCGAATATAACGGCAGATCGGGGTAAAACCATTCGAGAATTAAAAACTTATTTGGAACCAGAAATACACTTTCTCCTATAAAAAATCTATCGAGGACGCAGTTTTCTTCAAAAAACATCACAAGAAGTAATATTTGTGTGCGTATTTTCTATAGAAAATACGCTTGAATTTAAAAGAACATCGAAAACCAGAGTATGAATTACCTACTCTTTATGCAGTCCTTTTTCATCGAGTGCAGTTTCATTCGACGTCCAGAAAGAACTGCAAACAAAAACAAGCATTCTGGCGTGTCGAAAATGCCACGGGATAATGCCGCACGATAGTTAGTATTACAAACCACCTAAGTAATTCTTCACAGTCAGGAACGCCTTTTGCAATTTCGGTTAACATTTAATGAGATCTCTTACCGACTGTATCAGCAACCCACATTCCAATGACCATACTGAAGGTATGTAAAGGCAACCGTCATACAAACCCTCAATACTTATTTACTAAGCAACATCTGCCGTACCTTTAGAGTCCGCTGCTAATCTACAGCCCTCAGTATATTCAGTAAAAAATACTAATCAGCTTTGAAATTTTGACGAATGCTTATTAGTCATGAGTTAAAATCACTATTTGGACGATACTCAGCTTTCAGAAAAAGAAGCTTTATTCAACAAAGATAATTGCAGCGATGAGCGCTTAGAGTTCTCGAATGTGTTATTTACAGCACCCATACGACCGTCTTTGTCTAGGATAAAATCCCTGACGGTGAAGAAGCCGACAACCATGAAAAATGCAAGGAGGATCAGAAGTGTGAGCAGCGACCCGGGTGGACTCGAGGACCCTGGTTACCTCTCTCTCTTGTCCTCGCGGTGGTCCTAGGAGGCTGTGCGTTTACCACCCTCCGCCAGTCTCGCGATCGAGTACCACCCCTTCTACCCGACCCAGTGCCACCAGCCACTTGTTACCGCTGTGATAATTACTTCAACCTCATGTTTGGACGACGCATCAACTCCCAGGAGGACGTGCAGATGGTTGGGCCATTTGGAGGCAGTGTTATTGGTGCAGGCGGCATTGCCTCCGAGTTTGGCAGGCAAGAAGAAGCTGATCTGTGCGCTGAGTACGTGAACCGATCGGCGCTGGTTAGTTTCCGGTCAGATGGCGACTTCTGTGAGGAGCAGCGCTTCAACGGCTGCTTCAAGATGATCACCAAGAGTTACCGAGTGACTGCCGGTCTGGGTAGAGAGCAGTTGGTGGTCACGGTTGTGACCAGGAACTGTGCTGAGATACCTGAGACCATCTCGTTGGGGTGCCAAAAAATCTACGGGGGTGCGGGCATGGTGAGAGAGTTGTGTTACTGTAAGGGTGACTACTGCAATGGGAAGGCCAAATTACAAGCACCACTTTGCATCAATGTACTTTTTATGGCCTTACTGATATGGTTTCGCATTTGAAAGCACCTTGCCGCAGGAAGAACGTGCTGAGTAATATTATGAATAAAAATATGCTTGATAGACTTGTTTTTACAAAAAAACTCTGTCGATGTTTCTAGCGGTTTTCAAGTTTTATGTAGAAGACTCTACATGTAAAGCATCCTTTCGCCGACCCATAAGTAGTCAGCTACACTAGCCTTGGTTTGGAGTCTTACGCAGTTATTCGTGCAAGCTAATGTTGAAAATAATTCTGAACTGAGAAAGGATATGCCTGTGAGAAGTTAGACTGGGCACTTAGACTTATGACCAACACGCATGTCTATATTACTGCATTTTGAGGTATAAACTATGAGGTATACATCAGAAGACAGAAAGATCGTCAATACTGATATACGTTTGACTGGCAAAGCTTCAGTTGTTTGTTTTGCCTACGAAATCTGCCCGCATGTAAGCCGCGCGGTCATAACGTTTGGCATACGTGCATCAGAAGTCAAAAAAACATTAGCAAGCTGCGTTTTGGTACAGGGGATCGGTGTTTAACTACATCGTCTGGTTACAGGGCAGGATGAATTCATTTTTAACGCCTTAAGGCTCACGGTCAAGGTTTTGGTAGGCGACCAAACCGCTACAATCAAGTTGACCGTTAACAGTAAAACAAAATGCTATATCCGTTTTCCATTTCGTAACCAAGTCACATCGGTAAACGGCGTTCACGAATAATTTTCATTTGTTTACGTCCCGTTTGAGCCGCATCGCGACCGACTGAGCGAATAACTGCTGCTTAGTGCTGAGAAACCATACTTCAGAACAGTACTGGATTGGATATCAAATCCTGGGCTCTGCTACTCTCGGATGTTGTACAGCTGGAAGTCGGCATCTACTAGGTCTAAATAATCTCTTCCGGTCGCCTAAACAAGAGCTTTATTTGCCCGACGTTTCGGATTCACGTTTCAACCCATCATCAGAAACAGTAACGGATACCCGTATATGTTGCTGTCTCTGATGATGGCTCCGAGTGCGATTCCGAAGCGTCAGGCGAATAAAGCTCTTGTTCCAGCGATCGCTTCTACTTCTTATCAACTAATTCCTGAAACTCACATCTTCGCTTGTACCGGCAATCTTTTCAGCGTCCCTGATTTTCGGTAACTTCCTCAAACAGCCACATGCCTCGAAATGAAACTTTGAGCATTAGTGTACAAAAATCTCTCTGCGCGATTGGTCCTGCAGTCCCACTTATTTCCTACTTATTAAAGCAATTTCAGTAGGCATGATTAAACTGGCTTGCCATATATGGCGACACGGCAGGTGGTCCATCCTGGGTTTGCATTGACTTGAATTTGGCCCCCCCCCCCACTGGCACCTTCGGCTGTGCGGCCTTCCGTCGGCCACTGCCTTCCAGGCTGTTGTTACCATCCTATCTTGCAGCCAAACTGATCGTCGTTTTGGTACTGTTGGACTTCTGTTGACTGTAGTTAATTCCAATGTCGGACTTAATCTTTCCACAGGACGTCGGGAAGATACCTCCGTACTTCCGACGTTTAATTTGTACTTGCATTTCGCCCATTGATCCCTGGTTTCGTACGTCCTTGGTATCTGATCGTCGTTCTCGTCGTTGCCGTCATACGCCAAACAAAGTCGCTATTTCAACTTATGCTAACTCCATCCGCCGGTCCTCTATCATGCGTGAGCCTCGTTCCCCTTTGGGCCACCTTACCTTCCACGCCGCGATTACACTGTATTGGAGATGGCTTGCTTAAGAACATTAACCAGATTGCCAAGTTAAGCTGCAACTATATACTTTGGCTCCGATAGTCCGAGCTTCCACTGTCATCTAATCTTACACTTTAACGTTTGGTGGAGGGGGCGCTCACCGATCGCGCTGTGGAAATCACTCGTCCCGTTGTGCCTTTACATCCGTTTGGCACTTAACGGCCTCCAGTGACAGTCGTCTTCTCCACTACCGGAAGTAACCATCGTGAAGGTTTTCGAAGAAACACGCTGGCAGGCGGTATCTCCGAGTGTACAGTGCTGGGTGCGTGTGTGTGTGTGTGTGTGTGTGTGTGTCCTCCAAACGGACCACGGGTTAGATGCGCTGGACCAACACGTGGGCCACATCGGACTCTGGCAGGCGTTATCTGTGCGCAATAACATTTGCGGGGTGCGCTGGCAGAGTCTGCTGTCGGCAATCGCCGCAAAACTGGACCACTGCCATCACCCCATTGTTTTGTGGTCAAAATCCTGGCCATTTGTGTGTGAACCAGGGGGTGCGGAGTGGAGCGCCAAGGCGAGGATCCGTCCGAGCCATCCACCTGTGGCCTCCCCCGTCTCCGGTCTTCTTGACTTGGTCTTGACGCCGGGCTCAGGCGGGGAGGAGGAGAGAGTGTAGCTAGATGCTACGCAAGTCTACTGGCACTATAAACCCCTGCGTAAGTCACCGTCCCTGCTCCACAATGCAGTCTGTGGGGAATACGGTGGACATCATCGAAACCGATGGTCGAACTGTCGTGTTTGTGTGTAATGGTTGTTTGCCTGTTGCCCATCCAGCTTGCAGGTGGACGTTGCAAGCCCTACCTTTTCGTGCAGTTTACCTTTCAGGCCGTTTAATGACTTGAAATTGGTATTTTTTTTATTATGCGTTACCCCTTCTGAGGTTCATCTACCGCAACTTTCCTTGTCCCGTCACCTCCGTACTAACATCCATTTAGATGAGTGTCAATGCGGTTGCAGATACCAGCATTATTAGCATAAAAGTTGCAGAAAAGTTTATAAAGTACAGATCTGTAAACGGGTTCACTTCAGGAACCTGAGCGGCTGGCCCTTTGCATACTTTGTCGGTTGATCGGGACGTTTACCTATGGCATAGCCGTCAGTGGTTTATCACTGCTTACTTCGTAATCATTAGAGATGAGGGGCCTGGGTACTGGTTTCATTATGTACCGGATGGACGTCAGCCACGTGTTCCAGTGAGGTTTCCCAGATTTCCGGCAAACTGTCCGCTTTCAATCCGAATCACAGACGGTATTGGACTTCATCTACAATTAGCCCAAAGTGCTCTTCCCGAAATCTGCCAGTTCCGTGGAGTTTCCGCTTTCATCTACCCCTGTAAACGTGCTTCCCTGTCATTGGGTCCACAAAATTAGCGGAATGATTTACGCATGGTGCCGGCTTTTTTCCCATAGGTGCGAGTACGTCTTCCGTTTATACGAGACTATGATGTTGCCTGGGGCAACGCAAGCATCCATTTTTTCGAAGTGGCCCTTCCTCGTGTGCTGTATCAAACATGCCCATGATCCAATGCTGCTTCTTTCTTCATTCAACATTGTTCTTAGGCCGACTAATCATTGTCTCGTCAACTTGCACTTCCACGTCCGTCCCTATTAGCTTAACCTCCTTCGGGTGGGCTTTTGAGCAGATATCGCGTCAGACGCGGTACCTTTCAACTGCTGTGGTGTGATTTACACCAACGTAGGCCGCACAACTGCTGACGTCCGTCCCCTAGGGAAAGCGTGATAGGTTCTCATTATCTTAAATGATGTCAGATTGCCTTTGTCATCAAATGAACCAATTCTGAGGGCTTTTTGGTTCTATACCGGCCGCACGTAAGCACATGGTCGTCGGTATGCTGGCGTAATATTTGTTGTTTCGTCGAACGCCCGCATCGGCATTGTTCCTTCAACGGTAACAATTTCTTTGTTTGGACGTAGTGTACAAGTTGAGGTGAGGTCATTGCCCCTTGTATCGTAGTAAAGCCTACTGACTTGTCCATTTATGGTCCGATTCTTCTACGGGGCTTACTTGGCTGCGCTTTGCAACTGGGATAATAAGGCGTCTTTAAATCCAACTTACTTAAAATCTATGGAGCATTCGGTGTTACGTTTTTATTTATCATAACCCCATTTTATTTGGAAGCTCTAAGAGTATGGTTCTCAGTAAATGACCTCTCACTGTAATAAAAAATTATTGATTTGTTTTGCATCTGGCTGTCACTTCCCACAACAATCTCCTCATCCACTCTTTCGTAATTATCTCCGTCAGGTCTCACTGTTTTTCGCAAAACTTGCAGATCGACCTTGACACTGCCTTCACAATTGCTAGTGGATCCCTAATTTTAAACTGGATTTCCCTACCACTTCAGTTAATCCCGGCGGTTTGCGCAGCTCTTCCGCTAAACCCCTTTTAATACTCCCCGCGCTATTTCCCAGTTCATATTCACAATCGGTGTTAGTTAGCCTACATCTATTGTAACAGTCGACACATTCTTTGCTTCTTACAAACGTGTCCAAAGGCCCCGCCCATAAAATTCCTGTTACCACCATTCCCGCATGGCAGGTGCCTTTGGTTACTGTTTTATCATTGCGGTTGATGGACCACTCCTCATCAGAATCTCCCTTTGGCCTGAGCAGCTCCGTTATACAAGCGTCTGCCCACTTTGTGGGGTTGAATGCAAAAGCGTGACAGTGCGCATCGAGACAGACTGCTGTACATCATTCTCAAGCTGCTAGGGCAACAGTCTTTCTCCAGAAAAGTTGACTACTGGATAAGTATAATTTCTCTGTTCAGTAGTTTGAGATTCCCCCCCCCCCGCCCAGGCTTGGATCTTCTGAGGAGTTCCGCTTTTAACTTGCCATTTTTCCGTCTCCGTGGGCAAAAATTCCCGTCGAAATAAACTACTGGGTGGGCGTTTCAAAATGCGGTTTTGCTGCACAGCAGTAGCTGCACTTGTTCCTCATTTTGGAGGACAAGTAATAGCTGCCTTGGTTGGCCCGACTCATCCTTTGAGTCTTGTTTGACCCATCCCGATGGCCTTTATTTCGGTGATTTTCTCGTCTCCATTTAAGAGCTCTTTGAGATATTGCTCAAAGATTTCCATAACACGGTTGTTTTTGTATTTTGGAGGTGTCCGGAAGCAGACTAAATCATGTTTTTTTTCATGATAATAAATTTACTGTGATTTACCCGAGGGCTCTGCGGTTTATTCTAATATGCAGAGACTACATTGCGGATATCCCGTTTGTTGTATTCTGGTTTTCGAGTGGTGTGTTGTGTTTTGGCACGATTACGCATGGCTCTCCGCTTACTGAGGCTTCTTGTTCTTTTGCGATCTTAGGTAGCGGGGGTTTTGCCTGTACTGTGCATAGCCTCGCTCCCTTATGCTAATACTTTGACCTACTTTGCCTTTTCGGGCGCTCTGCGGCAATTTTGTTCTCTGACGCATCTCCCGGTTTCTCTTTCTCGTACAAGAGACTGGTTTTCTGTTATGCTGAGCTCCATAGACTCACCGTCTTCCCTCGCATCAGCTAGTAGAGACGAGAAGGCGGTGTTCACCTGCGTTTTCTTCCTTTTTGAATTTCTGTTGTCATTCACTTCCCTTATTTAGGTAAATGGTCAGGGAGTTTTCTCAACTTCTCCATTTTCGTGATTGCTAACTGAAGGTATCCGTTTATACGGACATTGACAATTCGGTTGCCATATGCATACGCTGTCAATTATATACAGGGTGGTAATCTAGGCAGTCAAATATGAACACCATGGGTTATGTGGTTATAGTTCAGTCTTCCGTCCGCAGGCTGAATCTAAAGTTTGTCTGCGCAAAATATCTAGCGGTGAATCTAATTAGTAAATCTTGTTAACTGTAACCTACAAGTTACTATTTTCGTCAGTTTGGATGCGTCAACCATGAATAAAATATGCTGTCAGCGCTCAAAACCAATCTTTATTAATCACTTTGCCGAGTAAACTCTTTGAATGTTTGCTCGACCGCGCCTCGAAAACGGCATACCCGCGCGGTCGCCATGCTCGGTACTGTTCACTGATAAGAAACTAAAGGTGGCCGAGCTAACTATCGATCATGTAGTGCCGAAATATGTCATTTAATCTATGCTATTCTGTGTTCGCTTTTTCGCCCTTTTTATAATTATGATGCCCAGGGTAAGCTGACTAGCCCCCGACAGCCTCTACTGAAGCAGTTACATGCAGTCCTAATTGTACCCAACAAAGTGGCTGGGAGGGTAAGGGATATGGAATAATATTTGTTTTTCAAAGTCAGGCATATGCTCAATCTCCAAGGCACAGGAAATCTAATAAAGCCTACTAACATAGCATAAACTATTTAAATGATTATACAGTCACGAGTCATGAGGCCCTGAAACGAGTTATCTGCTTCATCCTAAGAAACTGATGAGAATTTGACTAGTCGTATGGGTCAAGAGAGCTTATAGTGCAATAGCCTTGAGTGACTGTTTAACCGTCCCATGCGACGATGTCCGCCGTGTGCCTGGAAGTATGGGGGATGCAAGACCGCTACTTGCGCGTGAATTAATTTATGAAGACAGCAGGCTTGCGCAGAATCCACCGCGCTCTCTCCTCCCTCATTCACTTGAGCTTGGTGTCAAGAGAGAGGCCGGATCGGACTCGAAAATTACAAAGCTGAACAGCACGTCCGTGCATGCCACAGACTCACGATATTTCGACCGTCGCATCCGACGGTGTCCACCGTATGCTCTACAGCAAGCTGAGAGCAGGGACGGTGACTTGCGCATGATTTATGGTGAGAGTAGACTTGTGCTGCACCTACTACATTCTCCCCTCCTCTCCCACCTGGACCCGGTGTCCAGACAGAGTCAAGAAGACCGGAGATGGGGGAGGACGCAGGTGGATGGCACGGTCGAGCTCGCACCTCTGCGTTCCAATCCACACCCTCTGGTTCACACAACAAATAACCCGATTTTTGTCCAACAGCAACAAAGATAGCATTCTGGATGGCAAAGGCGACGCCCACGTGCCGTCGCTCTGCCCTGGGACAACCGCCCCATAAGAAGGTGTAGCCAGCACCCACTTCCTCCAGTTGGCCTTGTTCGGAGAACCGGGTCTCTCCGAGTTCAGCGATGTCTACGTTGTTGCGCGCCAGTTCCCGAGCCACTAGCGCTGTCCTCCGTTCCGGTCGGTTGCTCATCGGATTGTCTAAAAAGGAAAGAACATTCTAGGCTCCCAGAGTTGGCGGACTCACCCAACCAGTCTGGCGAATGGGGCGGCGGGGAGTAGGAGGTTATTTCGACCGTGAGATTTGCATCTGAGGCCACAGTCAGCCTGCAAACGACGTGGGTCTCCAGAATTTCTAAAGGGCACCTTTTCTAGCCCCTTCCCCCTTGAGGGGTCAGCAGTGCTCTCCCTAAATAGGGCTGTTCAGTTGTCCCAGACGGCTACTGAACTCCACTATGGATCACGACTTTTGTTTAGTGAGAAAATGACCCGAGTTAGCCTGGACCTGCCTACGACAACGCCGTAGGACTTGAAAGGGGGATAACGGATGGGTAGAGAGACGGAACGCACAGATTTCCCGTCCCGCTCTGAGTTACCTGGTTGCTGAAATATAAACGATGTGCAGATAAATTCAACAGAACGGCATTTAGCTTTCAATAAGGACAAACACAAGCAAGCAGACATGGCAATCTAACAGATCAATCCAGCTTACCTGAAGACTCACTTACCTTGTGGCCTCCTGTGGTGTTGTAGATGGAGTATCGTCTCGGAGATGCCGAGTCGGTGGTCCATCCGGCCGGCGGAGCCTAGTTGCCATATGCGAAGATGTATGTACACACGGATGGCCTCACCTGGTTTAACCCGCCCGTCGAGGCAGTTGCCGGGGTGCGGCCGCTAGGCAGAGCCTAGTTTCGGGGAACGAACTGTGAAAGCTTGCTGCCAGTACATGGATGCTAGGCATAGTCAACAGCTGCAAGCAAGTGAGCGAGGCACAACGACCATCACGTGAACTCAAAACTGGGCACTTTTACATTCCCACTACAACCCACGCACACACACACACACGCACACACACGACAGTTCGACCGTCGATTTCGACTATGTCCACCGTGTGCCCACAGCTGCAGCAGCGGTGGAAGCAGGAACGGTGACTTGCGCAGGGGATTTATAGTGCCAGCAGACTTGCGCTGCATCTATATGCACTCTTTCCTCGTCCCTGGCCTGAGTCCGGTGTCAAGACCGAGTCAAGAAGACCGGAGACGAGGGAAACCTCAGGTGGATGGATCGGACGGATTCTCACTTGGCGCTCCAGTCCACATCCCCTGACCCACACAACAAATAACCATGATTTCAACCAACACAACAGAGATTTGGAGGCTGGCACGACCGAAGCCGCACCTAGGCGTGTCGCCACACCCGGCTCGGATCCCACGAAGTTGGAGTGTGATAAAGGCCACATTAATAAGGAGCCATTGCAGCCTTACTCTCAGACCACCTGCAGGCCACTCCACACCAGTACACACAACACTGGACCGACTGCGAGGTCCAAGTTATCCCGTCAGTTGGCAATCTTACAAGCCACGGCTTTTAGCGCACCGTGATAGCTTCAAACGCGTCAGAGTGTTTATAGTGAGGAGGAAAATGCGCTGAGTCGCCGAACTCACTCTCCCTTTCCATTCCCACGCCTCAATCATTGTCCGAGCCCGTTAGCTGACTTTGGCGGGGAATAGGCACGGTGGCTGACATGGCAGACTGACCTTGTCTGCGCGCGCCACACGCACTACCTGGTCCCCCAAAAACAAGTACCAGGTTGAGCCGCGTACATCTCTCAGGCGTGAGAGTGCCACAGGCCACGTTAAGAAGGAACCGCCTTAGCCTGGCCCTCAGCTCATCAGTCCGCAGCTCCACGCATACGCACACAACTGGGCAGACTGCGTGGACTGAGTTGGGCGTCAGTTTGCAGCCTTCCAAGCCACTGCTCTTGACGCGTCGTGATAGCCTCAGACTCGAATTACACATGCAGCAAAGAAGCAATATGGAGAAGGAGCCGAGATGCACACTTGCGTGGGAGGTTACGATAGATGATGATGTTGGGTGATGTAGGTGGAGGATGGTGTGGTGGTGTGGCTTAGCCGGCGGTTGTCTACCGCCGGTTTTCGTGAATGCGCATGTGGCCTAATAGGCCCATGCGGTGGGTGAATGTGCGGCTACAGTTAGGGCAGTTGGAGCGGATGCGTCTGATGTATGTTGGCGCTCAAGGCACTGGTCTGCCAGTCCCTGTGCGATGAACTCGCAAGTGACCGACCAGGCCGATGCGTGAGGTTAATGTACGGAAACTGTGTGAATAGAAGAGGTCGGGGGTGTCAGTTTCGGAGACAGTGTCAGTGGTGAAGCTGCCGGTTGTGGCCGCGCTGTAGGGGGGGGGGGATTGGATTGAACTAGGCACGGTGGACGTGCAGGAGGTGCTGGATGTGTCGAGACTGCGGTCAATCCCGCTCTCATGGATACGCATGTGATCGAATAGACCCATGCAGTAAGTGAATGCGCGAGCACAGTGTGGACGGTGAAGACGGATGCGGTGGGTTTAGGCTGGTGCTCCAGGCGCTGGTTCGTGGGAGGCGAGGGAGAGATGGAAGGAGAGACGACGGTTGGTGCATTCCGGGTACTACGGTTGGTCCGGAGGTGTCCAACAAGTCCAATTGGCACGCGGAATGTCCGTTGATATTGTGGACACGATGGAGGCGGTTGGGCGTTGGCGTTGTGAGGCGGCGACGGCGACAGTTGGGATTTGAATGTCTCGCGTTTGGCTTTGCCGCAGTGATGCGGTTGACTCCGAAGATTGCTACGCCTCTCTTCACCGTTTTCCTCTACGTCGGTTGGTCCCGGTCGAGGTCTTGCCAGTTTGCCGGGTTGATCTGCAGGCGCTTTAGGGAGGTTTTCAGAGTATCCTTGTAGCTCTGGAATTGACCTGCGTGTCCGCGTGAACGTATCGCGAAAAATTCAGAGAAGAGTCGTTTGGGTGGCCTCTCATTGTTCATCCGCACAAGGTGGCCGCTCCAGCGTAGTTTCAGGTGTCTCAGCATTGCATAGGTGCAGAAGATTCTCGTCTGCTCCAGTCCGTCCGTGTCTGGGATCCTGTCCTGCCTCCTCAGCTTCAGTATTCGACGAAAACAAATGAGGTGGAAGTGGTTTAGTCCACGTGCCTACTTCATTTACACCGTCTAGGTCCTTGCTCCATAAATCAACATTGGCTGGGTGACGGCCCTGCGCATCTTCAGTTTCGTGCTCAGTTGAAGGCCTTGATGATTCAAAACTGTGTTTTGAAGACGACCGAAGGTTTGCTTGGCCTTGGAAACCCGGAGGGCCACTTCATCGTCGATTTTGGTGCTGCGGGAGAGGGTGCTGCCCAGATACGTGAAGTTGTCCACCACTTGCATTTGGATTCCGTTCACACTGATTTGCGGCGCGTTGTTGGCAGTGTTGGGTGACGGTCAGTGCATGACCACCGTCCTCTCCGCGTTAATGGTCAGGCTGAAGTTGTCGCAGGCGGCGGCGAAGAGATCCATGCTCCTTTGCATGTCTCCTTCCGAGGTGGCATTGAGGACGCAGTCATCGGCGAAGGGAAGTTCATGGACGGTCGTTGTGGGTACACGTGACTGGAAGTGCATCCTACGGTGGCTGAGAAGGTGGCCGTCCGTCTTGCAGGCGATGCGGATCCCAGGGCATTCGTCGCGGTAGGCGTCCATAAGCATGACAGTGAACATGAGTCTGAAGAGGCTAGGTGCGAGGACGCAGCCCTGCTTCACTCCGTTGGTCACTGCGAAGGCCTCTGAGACAACTCTGTTGTCCGTGATGCGCGCGATCATGCCATCGTATAGCTGACGCCCCATCCGAGTGAATCGCTCGGGACAGCCGAACTTCTGCATGATTTTCCACAGTCCGCCACGGTTCACCGTATCGAAGGCTCTCGTCAGATCCTCGAAGTTCGAGTATAGATGGGTCCGCATCTCCTGAAATTACCTCTGCCGTTGACGGGCGGCGAAGATCATGTCGGTGGTCCTACGATAACGGTGGAAGTCGCACTGGTTTTCCGGGAGGAGACCTTGTTCCAGATGGTGGTCCAGGCGGTTGAGAAGGATGAGCTAACGTCTTCTCGGCGATGTTTAGTAGGGGGGTGCCTCGATGGCTGTCGCAGATTTGGCGGTTCCCCTTGCGCTTGTAGAGATGGACGAGTTTGACGTCCTTGAAATTCTGAAGGACTTCTCCTTGACGCCACATCTCCTGAAAGAGCGCCGTCGGGTGATCCATTAGTTGGGAGCCACCGTGCTTGTAGATCTTAGCAGGGGCCGCGTCCGACCCAGGCGCTTTCCCGCTGGAGAGCTGCGGCACAGTCCTACTGGTTTTGTGGAGAGAGAGGGAGCGAGAGGTCAAGGTCAGCGTTGGTCTCACTGGGGGCAGACGGCAGATGACGGCGCCGGAGATAGAGGGACGGTTGACGACGCCTTTGAAATGCTCGGCCCATCGCTTCAGAATTTTCGTCGTCTTAGTAATTAGGTACGCCCGTCGGCACTGAGATGATGAACAGTTACTTTAGTTGGCAGACCGTATACAGCTTCGATTGCGGAGAAGAAGTTTTTCCATTCATTACGGTCCGCGACCCTCAGATCATCTCGGAGTGCGAGCCGCCCAGACGTCCTGCATCTCGCGTAGTCGCTGTTGCACAAGGCGGCGACTACGGTAGAAGGCTGTTTTGTTATTGCACAGGCAGTTCTTCTAGGCAAGCAGGTTGCTGATGGCGGCGTCGTTGTTATGGAATCAGTCCTGATGTTGTCGACATGCGCGACCGAGGACAGCCAGGGTCGTCTACTGAACTGTGTCCCACAATTGACACCATCGGTTCTCCACGGAAGCGTTCTCATCAGCGGCGGCAGCGACTGAAGGGCTGGCTAGCCGCTGAGCAGGCACGGACAACAAAGAGATATTCAGCTTACCTGGTCGGTCGCTTGCCTCAAGGTCTCCTGCGGGGCTGTAGGAGATGACGAGACGATGGTCGGTCCACCCGTCCGCACCCGGGATCGCCATTGTCACCAGCACGTCCCGCTGGTCTCGCCTCCGGACGATGACATAGTCCAGCAGGTGCCGGTTTCGAGACCGAGGTTGCATCTAGGTGGCCTCCTCTCGCATTGGAAAGCGGAAGAAGGTGTTGGTTAGGGTGAGCCGGCGTTCTGTGCAGGTTCGTAGGGGAAGCAGGCCATTTTTATTGAAGCCGTCTAGACTATAGAAACCCTGCACTCCTCTCCAGGCAGCATGGTCTGTGCTGATACAGGCGTTGAAATCACCAAGGACAATCAACTTATCCGCCATCAGCAGAGACACCAGGAGGGCATGCAGGTCCTCTTAGGATTTGTTCCTCGTCTCGTTGGGGCTGGTCATCGGAGGAGCGTAAACACTGACGATGGTGTCGAAAGTACCTCCCAGAGAGGCTGGCGGAAGCTCATCGGGCGACTGTTGGTACCCTGTGGCAGACAGGGCAGTCGTCCCACGATATCATTCCGGATGGCAAAGGCGGCGCCCACGAGCCGTCGCTCTGCCCTGGGACAACCGCCCCATAAGAAAGTGTATCCAGCACCCACTTCCTCCAGTTGGCCTTGCTCGGAGAACCGGGTCTCGCCGAGTTCAACGATGTCTACGTTGTTGCGCGCCAGTTCCCGAGCCACTAGCGCTGTCCTCCGTTCCGGTCGGTTGCTCATCAGATTGTCTAAAATGGAAAGAACATTCTAGGCTCCCAGAGTGAGCGGACTCACCCAACCAGTCTGGCGATTGGGGCGGCGGGGAGTAGGAGGGGGAAAAGAGGGAGTGTTTTTTCTGTTTTTGTTATTTCGACCGTGGGATTTGCATCTGAGGCCACGGTCAGCCTGCAGACGAAGTGAGTCTCCAGAATTTCTAAAGGGCACCTTTTCTAGCCCCTTCCCCCTTGTGGGGGGGTCGGCAGTGCTCTCCCTAAATAGGGCTGCTCAGTTGTCCCAGACGGCTACTGAACTCCACTATGGATCACGACTTTTGTTTAGTGAGAAAATGACCCGAGTTAGCCTGGACCTGCCTACGACAACGCCGTAGGACTTGAGAGAGGGATAAGGGATGGGTAGAGAGACGGAACGCACAGATTTTCCGTCCCGCTCTGAGTTGCCTGGTTGCTGAAATATAAACGATGTGCAAATAAATCCAACAGAACAGCATTTAGCTCTCAACAAGGACAAACACGAGCAAGCAGACATAGCAATCTAACAGATCAATCCAGCTTACCTGAGGACTCACTTACCTTGTGGCCTCCTGTGGTGTTGTAGAGGGAGTATCGTCTCGGAGATGCCGAGTCGGTGGTCCATCCGGCCGGCGGAGCCTAGTTGCCATATGCGGAGATGTACACACGGATGGCCTCACCTGGTTTAGCCCGCCCGTCGAGGCAGTTGCCGGGGTGCGGCCGCTAGGCAGAGCCTAGTTTCGGGGAGCGAACTGTGAAAGCTTGCTGCCAGTACATGGATGCTAGGCAAAGTCAACAGCTGCAAGCCAGTGAACGACGCACAACGACCATCACGTGAACTCAAAACTGGGCACTTTTACATCACCCCTACAACCCACGCACACACACACACACACGCACACACACGACAGTTCGACCGTCGATTTCGACGATGTCCACCGTGTGCCCACAGCTGCAGCAGCGGTGGAAGCAGGAACGGTGACTTGCGCAGGGGGTTTACAGTGCCAGCAGACTTGCGCTGCATCTATATGCACTCTTTCCTCGTCCCTGGTCTGAGTTCGGTGTCAAGACCGAGTCAAGAAGAGCGGAGACGAGGGAAACCGCAGGTGGATGGATCGGACGGATTCTCACTTGGCGCTCCAGTCCACATCCCCTGACCCACACAACAAATAACCATGATTTCAACCAACACAACAGAGATTTGGAGGCTGGCACTACTGAAGCCGCACCTAGGCATGCCGCCAACGCCTTGCTCAGATCCCACACTCCGGCGGGAGTGCCATAAAGGCCACATTAAAAAGGAACCATTGCAGCCTGACTCTCAGACCGCCGCCAGTTAAGGAGGAGGTCCAAGTTACCCCGTCAGTTGGCAACCTTCCAAGCTACGGCTTTTAGCGCACCGTGATAGCTTCAAGCGCGTCAGATTGTTTATAGTGAGGAGAAAGTGCGCTCAGTCGTCGACCTCACTCTCCCTTCCCACTCCCAGACCCCAGCCACTATCCGAACCGATCAGCAGGCTGGAGTGGGGAATGGGCGCGACACACACACACACACACGACAGTTCAACCGTCGATTTCGACGATGTCCACCGTGTGCCCACAGCTGCAGCAGCGGTGGAAGCGTGGACGGTGACTTGCGCAGGGGTTTCTAGTGCCAGTAGACTTGCGTAGCATCTACCTTCACTCTCTCCTCCTCCCCTGCCTGAGTCCGGTGTCAAGACAATGTCATGAAATGCGGAGACGAGAGAGACCGCAGGTGGATGGATAGGACGCATCCACGCTTTGACGTTCCACCACGCCCCTGGACCACACAACAAATGACCAGCATTTTTACCGCCACAACAATGGGGTGATGGCACTGGTCCAGTTGTGCGACAAATGCCGACAACAGGGTCTGCCAGCGCACCCCGCAGATGTCGGCATTTGTTATTGCGCAGAGATAACGCCTGCCAGATTCCGATTTGGCCCCCGTGTTGGTCCAGCGCAATTAACACGTTGCCCGTTAGCAGTACACAACACACACACACACCGATATTTCACGCAAGGGTTAGACTGTTTATATCTCACACGCAGCAGAGGAGCCACCTGGAGGAATGAGTTGAAATGCACACTATCCACTTACGTAAGAAGTGCTGGTTATGTGGGATTTTGGGGAGGCTTATCTGTGGTGCATGTGCTAATGGGGTAATGTGTATTGATTTGATTATATCTGCAGCGATTTATCGCAGGTTTGCATGAATGAGCATTCAACCCAATAGGTCCTTTCGATGGCTGAATTTTCGAAGACAAGGCGTGCATTTGCGTCATTGACGTCTTGTTTATGTTGGTGCTCTAGGCGCTGGTTCGCCAGTCTCTGTGCGATGGATCCGTAAGAGACTGACCATTCTGAATCAGGAGCTGAATGTGCGATGGTAGTGTGGGTAGGATAGTTTGGCGAATTCTCAGTCGGTTGCTGTCGTGGTGCTGTCAATGTTAACCGCGCCGTTGTATTTAGAGTTGATTGGGTTGGTGACGGGATAATTTATGGATGCTCAAAGTGTGTTGATACTGTGGGGAATTTCGCTGATGGGGATGCGCGTGTGACCGAATAGGCTCACTCGATGAACGAACTTGCGTGGACAGTGTTGGCAGTGAAGTCGGATTCAGCAAGTGTATTGGGACCTCCTGTCACTGATGCATCTGTCTCTGGACGACAGATTTGCAGCCGACATATAAGGCCGACACGTGGAGGAATATGTGGTTGCAATGAGGACAGGCTGGGTTCGTGTTCACATTGCTTGAGTTGGGGTGGTAATGGTGAGGTTGGTGGTTAATGGGGGACTGAGAGTGTCCTGACCGGTGGCGGGAGTGGGAGAGGCTGTCATCTTTGTCGCCGCGGGGGTTTTGACAGAGATGGTGATAGTGAAGAAGAAGAAGAAGAAGAAGAAGAAGAAGAAGAAGAAGAAGAAAAGGAACGACGGGCAGCGAGATTCTGAGCATCAGTAGTGAGGGCGCTCCTCGTCGCGGATGCCGTGGCAGTTGGAGCAGGGACGATCGAGGTGGAGACGGTCGAGGCTTTTCGGCTGTTGCACTGGGTTCTGAGATGAACCGTGCGCCCAATCTGCACGCGGAATCCTCGCCAGTGGCACAGATGAGTTAGAAGGGACTTGACCAAGCTTGCAGGTCAGGGGCGCCTAAGACTTGCGTGCTACTCTTCTGACTTTGGTAGCAACACTCCGATAGGCTTGATAGACTGCTACCTCAGTCTTCACTGCACTTCTCCATGCCGGTTGATTCTGTGCGAGGCCTTTCCAAGTCTCCGAGTCAATCTGTAACCACTTCGGGGGATTCTTCACGGCATCCTTATGACAACATGTTCGCCATCCTTGTCGACGAGCTCCCGTGGCGACATTTCCAGAGAAGCGTTGTTTTGGTAAGTGCCTACGATTCATCATCTCGAGGAGGCCGCTCCATCATTGTTTTAGTGGCCTCCCCATGGCATCAATGATGAGGATTCTAGTTCGTTCGAGAAGATCTTTTCCTTGTATCTTGTACTGCCACCTCAGCTTCAGTAGGCGCAGGAGACAACCGAGGTGGGGGTGGTTGAGTTTTCCTGCTTGTTTTTCGTAGACTGTCCCGGCTTCCGCATGCTAGACCAGAGTCGTCAAGATGACCACTTTCTACATCTTGAGTTTAATGTTGAGGCCGAGGCAGTGACGATTACAAACGGAGTTCTGCGGTCGGCCAAAGTCTTGATTGGCTTTGGAGATCTACTGAGTCACTTTGTCGTCAATTTTGATGCTACGTGATGATGTACTGCTTCCGTAGGCCAGGGTGTCTACGGTTTTCAGTTTGATACTGCTGACGTGGAGGCAAAGCTCATTCTACGCATCGTTGGGGAGGCGGTTGATGTATGACCACCGTCTTAAGTCAGTTTAAGATAACTTTTTAAAGGAATGAGAATTTCGCTCATAAGCTTACCATTCAAATCCAAAAACGGCAATTTAATCAATTGTTACACTAACGATTCTGGAAACTTAAAAGTTATATTATCGGTATACGTGAGCCAGGCACAAATTGCCGTCACTGATATAGTCGTGATTATACGTAAATTAAGTTCTCGAAAAATGACTCTCGTTTACGTTTAAACGATTTAGTAGTTTAGAAAAGAATTACCACGCCTGCTAGTCCGTTCCATGCTCCGACGACCCTTGCGGGAAGGAGTTCCGTCGGACGTCTGTATGAATTAATTTCCTCTGCAGTTTAAAGGGATGAATACGTTGACGGTCCGCCCCGGCCAATTCGAAAAGGCCCAGGTCACAATGACGGCCTCCGACAATCCCGTAGGTTTGAATAAGATCACCGCGCAGTTGTCTATAATTAAGAGGGAATAGATTAAGTTTAGCCAGTCCAGTAACGACGGTTTCAGTGAGGAAATCAGTAGAGCGCCGGGGTCTTTCTGTTCCATAACATTTTAAAGGGATGACCCATCAAGGAGACATCAAAAGGAACCATTCTCCATAATAGTCTTTCTGGCACAGATTCTCAAGTCCACACATTTATGGAAATGCAGTTCAACATGACAGATGGAATTCCCATCGTCTAAGTTTAGTTTCAAGTTTCATGGCCATGCCAAGCTTTCTGATCCCATAGGGTTTTTAAAATAATCCACTCTCCGAATGCTTCACCATAAAAGAACCAGTTTAAATTGTACTAATAACCTTATTTTATCACTTTATACAGATAGAATCTCCGGTTCATATAACACACAATTTCCTTCCGGAAATAAAGATAAGACTTTGTAAAGTGTTTGTTCTTTCCTTCATCGGGTACTGCTGTCCGTCCTCTGACTTAGTGAACGCATGTAGCCGTAATAAAATCGAAAAACTTCAGAGTTTTTACTCGAAAACTCTTCTCTTAAGCTAGATCCGGTATTTCCTTTATCAGCAGGTATCAATCGACGAACATTAAGTTTCCATGGATTAGAAGACTCTAAGCTGGCCTTTGCTCACTGTTACGTATTAGCACTGGCCCTAATCTACCGCGTATTAACAATCTCGCTCCGAGAGATCGGTCTTATGCCACGTGCAATTTCTCATGTTTATTCCGCCGCCTCCTTGCTCGACACCTAAACGTTCCTTCATTTTGAATCCAGATATTTCTTCCATTGGAATAATTTTCCACTTGAGCATAATTTATCGCCTAAGTAATCGGCATTCAAATCGAAATTAAGCTAATCCTTACACCGGAAAGCATAAAGTCACTAATGTTTACGTCATTCCCGAACACCCCAACTCTGGTCTTTTAAAAGAGTCTTCCTGGGATTTAATGGTAGATAATACATGTTTTGCTTTTTTCAAGTGGAAACTCACCCCTGTTTTCAATCAGCTACTTAGCCCACTGTTATTACTGCTCTCCTGCAGCAATTATTTTTGCTATTTTCGATGTCATCTCCTCATCTCGACCTCAGTCGATCTGTTGACGATCATTGCAGACTTCTCTGTTTTCGCCACGTGCTAGTTGTTTGGTCGGCCAATAAAGAAGTGGCACGGTCGCATCTCCCCACGCTTTGTTGATCGCCGCAGCCCCTCAAGTTCTCTTCTCGGCTGGACTCTAGGCAGGCTGTGACTGATCGCGTTTGGGTTTCTCTGCTCTCGCCACCTTGATGATCGTTTCCGTTATCGACGCAGAATATTATGACCACATCTGCAGCGAGCAACCTCATCCGATTTGGGAATTTTACCTTGATGATATCCTCTTTGAACCCTTATGTACTACCACATGCACACTGGTCCTCTTCGACTCGCGATAAATTTCTCCTCCTTCAAATCTAATTAGATTACATCTGTTTTTCCTGTTCGAAAAAAGTCTTTTGCTATTCGGTGACCGGCTTTCATATCAGACTGACCACTTAATAAGTATGGACTGAACACTGTACAGTGTCCACCCACTTGTTCTAAAATTCACACAAAATTGATTTTGGCTTTCAATGACAGTACCCATAGGGGTACTAAGTAAAATTGCTGATTTATGTGTTTATTAAAATTTGGGAAGCAGCGAGTTGCCAAGCTGCTAAGTCGATAAAGACTCTTTTGAATTCCGTGCCTGACTGCGTCAAATCTGATGATTCTCAACAATTTAGCGTCGTCAGCAAACATAATGATTCTGCATCCCAGGTCGTCAGCACAGTCGTTGGTGTAAACCAGGAAGCGCAACGGCCCTAGGACTGAGCCTTGAGGAACACTAATTAGATCAGGGCTTGAGGATGACTTCGAGGCATCAACGCACATGATTTACGATCTCCCTGTAAGAATACCTTCGAATCATTTCAGCAGCTTTCCTTCTATTCTAATTTCGGGTAGTTTATAGATTAGGCGTTCATGTGGGACGCTGTCAAACGCCTTCTTGAAATCCGTGTAGATGACATCAATCCTACCATCCTCGTCCGGCGCGCGATTCCACTGCCCATTCGAGAGGAATAAACTGGAAAGGCATGAGCGGCACTGTCTGAAGACGTATTGGAGCCCTGAGAGTAAATGATTCTCCTCCAGGAGCTTTACTGTTGCTTCCTTAAGTATGGTTTCCATTAATTTGCAGAAAATTAAGATGAGGCTGACAGGCTGACAACTGTTGCTGTTTATTCGAGCCTCACCATTGTATATCGGGTAGATGTTCGTTGTCTTCCCTTTAGAAGGCAGTCTCCCTAGGTCGAATCACGATGGAAGATATGCGCTGCAGTTTGGGAAATTCGTCCGCTAATTCTCTTGAGAACTTGGCCGTTATATTTTCCAGGCCCGTTGACCTTGCTTCTTTGAGATCCTGCAGCTCTGTTTCCATGACAGATGCCGGCAAGAATATAGAATTAAGCATGACAATGGCGGTAGCAACAGGATTGCTGACAGTGTGATTCAGAAATTCCGTGTCCCTTATGAATACCGAAGCAGTAAACCGTCCCAAGTTCCTGCCTTTCTCGGGATTTTAAACGACTCCGACACCATTATCATCCTTGTTTTCCAGTCGATTGTTAATATAGTAGAATAAAATCGTCGGCTGTGGCTCAGTCTGTCGGATAATTGTGGATTCATTGTCCTTTCTTGCCTGGCTGGTGCATCTTTTGACTGCGTTTTGTTGACGAAGAAATTCCATAAGGTGTTTTGGTGACCCAGTTCTTCTGAATATCTTGCCGTTTTCTTTGCCTCCTCAAATCTCCATTCAGGTCTCTAGTTAGACAAACAGGCCGACTACTATTTTTTCGTATACTCACTTGACAACGGCGCCGAATCAAATCCGGCGAAATCGTCTTAAACGATTTCTAATCATCCTCCTGCTCACCCTTGTGCAAACAGTCCCGTTTCAGTTTGTCCTTCATAACATTAAAATCTGCCTTCTATATTTTGTTGGCTATCCGTTCTCTTTTGACGTTGAGAGAATAGCAAATAATTCTATGGTAGCGTAGTTTGATCACCCTTACAGAGGGGTGCACTAGAATGTACTTCGTCAGTTTGAAGGAATTGTCTCGCGAAAACTGGATCCGAGAAATTGGCTCTCTGGTTCACTCAGAATCTAGCTTAGTGTCTTTACTTGCTGTGCCTGATGGAGACCGAGGGTGAGATCCCTTACATTATTGTTGAAGGAAGTCGGCGCACCGTGGACTGCCAGATTTTCCCAGTCTATTGCGGGTGTGTTGAGATCTCTAGTAATAAGAACCCCTTGATAGCGGGCTACTTCCTTGACCAAATGGGGAATTGACTCTCCAGCTGCTTTTGGAAGGTTTTAGTGGTCTGTCAGCTCTCAGGAATTCCAGATTTTGTTCGTTACTCTTTTTTGTCTTTACACAGACGGATTCATATTCAAGAGGGAAGGTGTGGGCTCGTTCGACGGCCGAAAATCCTGTTCATACATATACGAATACCCCACCACCATGTCTATTTTGACAGTCTCTGCGAAAGAGCTGGTAGCCCTGCATCGGAATCTCCGTATCCGCGATTTCGGCTTTGAGCCATGCTGCCGTTATAGCAAAGACATCAGGGCTCCGTTCTGAAACTAACGCCTTGAGTTCGTCGATATTCGAAATGGAACTTTGAGCATTAGTGCCGCAAGTGTACTAACTCATGAAACGTCATGAGTCAGCAACTACTAGCAACTGCTGAAGCGACTGCCATCAGGACAAGGAGGCTGGTCCTGTGCGCGCAGAAGAACCTTTTGCACGCCCCGCGTCTACCGTGGCTAGAAAGCAATAAACGGCATGCGTGTCTCCTCGTCCCCATCCCCTTCACCATGTGACACGTCTCTGTGTAACCCTCACTGCCACTTACTGCCTCCTCCCCCCTTTCACACATCCCGCTCATATGAAAAGACTAACCGCAATCGATGTCGCTTATCGTTTACGCGTTCTACTTTCTGCCTACTTCCCATATAAATGTACTGGCCCAATGCGAATTTACAGAAAGTAAGCCTATGCTCTATGCTCGCCAAACGGTCCTATGGATTGATGGAATATGTCCATGTCATGATGTATTCTGTCCTTTGGGATGTCAGGAGCAAACTTACGCATAACCTTTATTGCAATGCATTTGCTGCGATCAACGCGAGGGTTCAGTATTCTATTGTCACATGCAAAGACTTCATTTTGGATGTCCTAGTTGCCGTCTTATTCTGACTGAGATAGGTTATGAGTGGTACAGCCAACGCAAGGTTCTGCGTTAAGTCCGGTTTCTCGATCATTAGGCGACCTTCGCCAGTATGATTTTTGCCTGCAACGTAGCTAACTTCTTTTCCCTTTTCTGACCGTGTGTGTCTTTTCGAAGTACTCGGGACATTTTTTGTCCCCGGATATCCCGTCTGATCACCCTCTTCTCGCATCTAACGCCTATTCTTATTGACATCGAACTTACTTAGTCCACTGTCTTCTTTTTACTCCGTTGACAGTTAAAAAAGCCGTGTTTGCGTACGTTACTTCTTTTTTTGAATTTCGGATGTCAGAAATATCTTCTATTTGGGCAAATAGTGAAGGAGATCTCTCAACTTCTCCATCTCCACTGTTAGGTTCTCAGTCTTCTTCTCCACTTCTGAAACATTTTGAAGGAGTCCGAAGCGTATCGTACGGGCGCTAGGGCTCAGCCTCGGCCTGTGGTGGATTTTTTGACTCGTTGCGCTAGAGGCGTTTTCTCGATTCCCATTATTGATTAAAAGAATATGAAAGGTATTCAATGGTATAAGGCGAAGTTTTCAACCACATAAACCGCATAAAATCAAAAGCAAACCACACAGCTGTTTGCAGATTTGGAGAATTCTGACGAGGTTTTTGCAGGGAAGCGGTCAGAAAAGGGTTTGTTCTTTCAGTCGAAATTTCGTTATAAATTTATGAACGTGGGGATATTGCTGGTTCAAATACAACTCTTGCTAACTTCAGGTTGTAAGAGCGACCAGTGGACTAGAGTTTCAGAAAACGGATTCCTCAGAGAGTGAAAACGTGTTGAAGTTCAGCCTGAATTTGGTGATCCATGCTCCGTTGCATTTCGACTAGGTCGAATGTGCGGTCGTCAGCCAAAAGCGGGTTGTCGATCGCAGTTATGGAGAGACATGTTGGGGCTCGCATACGTCGGCTGATAAGATTTCCATCGGTCCTGTAATAATGAGAATTTTGGGGCACTCATCATGGTTAGCGTCACCAGCATGGCAGGAAACATGGGGCTGACGAGGAGTGAGGTTAGTACGCAAACTTGCTCTACTCTGCCGGATACTGTGAATGATTTTGGAATGGTCTCGTTGTCCGTGACGCGCATCAGCGTCCCCTAGTGGAGCTGACGCAGCACGTGCGTGGATCGTTCAGGACAACCGAATGCCTTCACTAATGTCCACAATCCATCGCGATTCACCCTGTGCGCGGCATTTATCAAGTCTATGGATGTAGTTTTGAAGTCGGCCCGAAATTCCTGGCCGGTGGACCAATAATATCATATCGGCGATTGCACGGTGACGTCTTAAATAAATAAATAAATTTTTAGTTAATGCCAGTTGACAGGCATTGTCAAGGTGTAGAAGGACGTCCTGACCTTGTTGTTTTAATGTGTTCTTGCCATGTTTTTTCCTGTACCGTCTGACTGATTTGTGTTCCGAACATACCTTTTTAGTGACCGCCGAGGAAGAGTGTGAGGGGGCCAGTCGAGTGACCTCCCGTAAGGAGAAAGACTGCAAGAAGACGGAACAGGACTAATTACCCCGGTTGATGTATTTCTTTTAATAAAATTTTCCGTCGTCAACCTACTCTATCGGCGTACGCTTGCACCTGCGGATGATGAAATCAATTCGCGCTAGTTTTCAGGATTCCAGCCGAGGAGACGCTCGACCAGGCAGAAGCACCAAGGAAGCCTATACGGAATGTCATCTAGAAGAAGAAGAAGAAGAAGAAGAAGAAGAAGAAGAAGAAGAAGAAGAAGAAGACAAAGACGAAGACAAGATCATACCCTTGGGTGGCTCGAGTACTACACTGGCTTTCCGAAGAAGTCCCGGTTTGATATTTGCGCTTGTTAGCGTGTAGGGGAAACCTAAATAAACAACATGCGGAAAAATATAACGAGTGCGTACTTTTTACAACCTATAAACCAAAAGTCAGAGACATGAATAGTTAGTTAAAACAGACTTATTAAAAAACAAAGATCGAAGGGAAAAAATGAAAAGAACTAATAAACTTGATGAACAACAATAGTAAACAATACTTACTTAATGCCACAGCTAACCGACTGCCGTCAATACCTACTGTTATCCATCCGTTCATCAGCACCATAGGCCTACTCACTGGCACATGTCCTTACTGCAATATCTAAAATTCTTAATTCAGCAAATAGTTCTCTGGTAGCTTATGGTCCAGATAAATCCTGAAGTGTGTGTCTGATGCCTGAAATTACCGAAAAAGATAACAATATTCTTACCTGCCTTCTCACAATCCCTTACTCTAGACAGCAGCTCTTCGTAGCAATTAAATTTTCCCTTTTGCATTGCTCTCCTAAAATGGACACACGGGACCAGTAGTTGCTCATATGTAACAACATTCACGTTAGGGGATGTAACCAAACCAACTTTGAGGAGAGCTTTCCTGCCAGCCATGGCCCCATCATATGTGGAGCTGTGTGGAGTCGGCGCCCCCTCTGGATTGAAGCCTTATGAAGCGTATTTGCATCGAAAGTTATGTCTCAAAAGCACCACTTAGTGTACTTCCTTCGGCATTTAAAGTAGCTAATTTATCAAAAGTGGCTTATAAATCATGGAAAAAACATTCGTTTACGCCCATGGGTCGCGCGTAATATCGTGTGTCAACCAAGGATGTTTTTATGTTCTTGATAAATGCCTTACTTAATTTATGCATCTTATGCTTATTGCTTGGGTATTTACTCACTATCCATTTCAAGTTGTCGACTTGTATGTACTATTAAGCCTTGGTGTTATACTTATGCAAATTGTTTATCGTCTTTTACTGAATATCCAAAGCAAGTATGAAGCGTAATTACTGTGGCTGTCACCGAATCACCATATACAAACGCATTACACGCCAGACGTAGGCATATTACGAGGCCACTGAAGAGCCTGAGTTTGAGGTTTCCTCAACGTAGACAGCAGTTGGAAATCAATCCCCCGAAAGAGAAATGTTTATACTGAACTCTGAAACGTCTTCCAATAGGTATTATGTGTGTGCGCCTCAGGGGACTCACCATGCAGGTCGATATTTAAAAGGGATGCCAAAAGTGGGCTGAAATGTGGGGCCATGGCATGGCTGTCGCGTAGAATGTCCCGCTGCAGTCTCTTACCCTTCATAGCCTCCTCTAGCAACGCCATTTTCGAGGGGGTTAGGTGGGGCTAGGCGGGGCCGGATCTGGCAGGAAACTAGCTGGCCTACGATATAGCATACGTCCTGTAAACCATATTTTTTGAAAATTCCTACCGTTCCGCCCTCTTCCTCGTCGCGGAACGATGCCTGTGGGGCCTTTGAAAGGACGTAAGCGCGAGAAATTTTTGCCCTGTAAGAGTATCCGGCTGCATAAAAACGCACTTATCTCGATATTTTTTACTTATCTGAAATGTTTAATAACATCTTCCAGGACGTCCAGTGATTGGAAGTTTCGCCTTCACACAATTTTGTGGAAATTTAAGTCAATGAGAGACGCATACCTCATCGTAACTCACGTCCGAGTGTTCGACCATATTCTGACTTATTTTCCGATATTCTCTTAGCCAGGGGGCAGCTCTTCAGACCAAGTAAGTATACCTTTTTTGCATTAGTCGCCAAGACCGGGCACGAAGAGTTGATGATTGAGCTATTACTAAAGCATACATATTTGAATTTGCTACTGCGACCAACCGCCGAGGTCACACAGCGCACTCAGCATGCAAGGTTGGATGTACGGAAGTTCTCCTTCTCTGTTCGACTGGTCGAACCATGGAATGCCCTTCCCGCAGATGTTGTGATGTCACCATCCATAAAAAGTCTTAAAAAGAATCTTGACATATTTATGTTCCAAAATGATCAAGAGCGATGAGAAGTAGAGCTCACCCCCTGTAACCCGTTCTCATTTTGTCCTACAATTATTCGCGTTTGAACTATTTCGGTCCAGAACATTTATCTGTATACCACACATTTTTTACGTTGCAAATAGGGTATTCAAAGGCTTACGCCTATTTCCCTCAATAAACTGAACTGAACTGAACATATTAGGGAGTGGCAACCAAGTTAATTTTTTGCGAACAAGGACTTAGCCGACGAAAGCCCTGTAAGCAATTCTCCCTAAAAATTCCTGCCACTTCTACCTGTTCGGTCGAAATAAAGTCACGGTTGTGAGCTACTTTTAGGGAGGTTGTCGTGATTCTGTCAATCTTTCCATGAACCACATCAGCGACATGTGGGCACTACTTGCCTTGTTATAAGTAGCCGGTTGCCTAAGAATGCACTCATTTGATATTTATTTCCTGACCGAACTTTTTAATGACATCCGCCAGGTCACTTGGTGACTTGAAGCGTCTCCCAAACATGATTTCGGACAATATAAGGTCACGAAATGACGTAGAAGTCATCAGAACTCAAAGAGAGTGTTCGACCAATCGCCTGATAGCCGTCGGACTAATTCCGCAAAGTCCTCTAGTTACTCAGTCTCATGGTAGGGGGTTGCAAGTATTTTTACGTCACTATCGTAAGGCAGTAAGTTTCATTCCGTTTACTTTATTTTAAAGTGGCGAAACAAATGAGAACAAAAAGCAAATTATCCAAGGTTTGTTTTTTCCTTCAGTTATTATATGTTTAGGTCAATTGGATACTCTGCTTTCCCCGGAAGGCCTGGAACAAGCCAAAAGACTGGGCGAAAAGTTGCGTGGTCTCTACATTGATGAAATTATCAGCAGCAATTTGAGGCGTGCGTATGATGTAAGGTTGTTTGCCCTTCGTTTTTTCCAAAAACTGGGGTTCCAGAACCCTTGCTCAATATAGCACGCGCTATGATGATAGCGTTGCAGCGCGACATCGTATTAGCAAGGTTTTAAGCCATGGTACCCATCGGTTGGCAGCAATTTACTAATTGTGGTTAGTTGATTCGTCCTACCGAGGCAGTACCTGTCAGCCACTGTGGCGTCACTGACGCCCGCACGCACCGATTTCGCGCGCCCTGTAGAGGACGCACAATATGCAGCTAGATTCCAGAGGCCTTGCACGATTTCTCAGGAGTACTTGAGGATCATAGTACACCGTAGAGTCATCTAGACGTCTATATATACATGTGTATGCATGACATAGGGACACTCACCGTTGGCTTAGCTGTTGGCTATACGGCACGTTCACAGGTGGTAGATGGTGGGACGGCCTTCACCTAAGGTTAACTGTGAACTAAACAGGCTCTCTGATCTGGCAAATAAACAGTCGCAAACCAGGAGTGTAAATGTCGCCAGGGCGCGAAGGGCTGAGGTCGAGCACACCGACAACCTCTTAGGATGCCACAAAGCCCGATGACGGCACTGTGACACGGCGATCGCTTGCTTGCCACCTTTGCCTGTAGTTAGGTTCTTAAATCAACGCGCTAGAGGAGATAACCCCATATAAACAATCCCGGCAGCCGTTGGAGTCCCACCAGCACTCAAAATCGTCACGAAACGCCATGAAAATGCTATGGCGTCCGCGGGGATCGTCGCGCTCCGCAACCCTGGTACAGTATTGCGTGCGAATATTACGCCGGCTGGACCGCTCGACTGGGAATGAACTCTCGAAATTGGACGCTGGGATGTGCGAACGTTTTTGGACCACAGTACCCAAAAGCTAACGGTCCGCGGTCCTCATCAGTACTACGTGGATGTCTGCCCCCTGTCTGAAATCCGAATTCCCTGCGCGGGCGCTAAGGAAATAGATCCCTGAAGTCAACTCCCACTTTGTCGTACCACAGCGGCCCACACGACTTCTGGTTGGCACGGTGTAGCTGTCATCTCTGAATAAGCAAGCCGTTCACAACTTGCACCGAACTGATGGGTCACTTTACGGACAACTCTGTCGCCTCCATGTACGCACCAACATAAGCTGCCAAACAGCGCGACAAAGAGGCATTCTGCTTACAGCTGCAGGAATTAGTTGCAAGACTCCTTCGCCATGATCTGCTGATTTTTACTGAGGACTGTATCCACTGACTCTTCCAACGGTCACCTTATTGGCTATTTTGGGCATGGCTCTCGATGCGAAAGTTGTGAGTGAATTTTGAATTCTCCTGATCAGAACTGACTTTCTGACACCATCACCTGCTTCCAGCATTGCCGAAAGCATTTGTTGATTTGTTATTCAAACAACGACCATACGGCCAGTCTGATCGAGTACATTCCAGTTGGTCCAAGTTTCCGCAGCTGAGTTCAGGACAGCAGATCGATACCTGGTGCCAAAACTGGGAACGCCCATGAGGCTGACCATGTTTGCGTTCTCACACGCCTGAAAGTTCACCTCTCATCTGCACCCAAAATGCCACGTACGAGAGGCCTTAATGTCACAAACCTTCAACAATCCAGCACTGCCGAGGCCCTGAGCACAGAAATCCGGTCCCGTTTGGTATTCGGTGTGGCGTTCGACAGGGTTCTATCCTGTTGCCCATTCTGTTCAACTATGCTATTGACTGGATTCTCGAGAGCGTCCTACACGAAGGTTACGGTGTTGAATTTGCACCCGGACACTGGCTGACTGGTCTCGACTATGCTGATGATATTGCCTTACTTGTTTAAAGTTTTGGTGATCTACGGTCTGTGGTGTTACGGGAGAACGAAGTCGCCAAATTGGTGGGTTTATTCATTAACGCTGGGAAGACTAAGGTGTTTTCAAGCTGCATCCTTCACCAGGAGAAGGCACCTGACAGGATTGATGACAGTCAACTTGAAGAAGTAGACAGTTTTAGATACCTTTGGGCGAGGCTGCTGCCGAATAGGCAGAGTAAGGATGACATTGTCTCCCGAATTGATGCTGCCCGATTTGTTTTCTCGAGCCTGAGAGAAAGCCTATGGATCTGACGCGACCTCTCCATTGTCACCAGGATTCGTGTGTACCATGCATCTTTCCTTCTCTGTGGTTGTGAATGCTGGGCTGTGCGCATGGAGGACGAGCGAAAACTGGAGGTATTTGACCACCACTGCTTGAGGACCATCCTTCGAGTGAACTACACCAACTTCGTCTCAAATGAGACAGTCCGCGCTCGCTGCGACGGCATTGCAAGGATAACCCAGACCATCCAAAAAAGGCGACTGAGGTGGTTTGATCTTCGTCGTCTGCCTCAGGAACTCGGTGTTACTGCCCTCGATCCGGCACCGTTACCCCACTGGAAGCGTCGAAGAGAGGTCAAGTCAAAAACTGGCTCGACACAGTTTGTCAAGACATAGAGATGGTTGTTGGACCTTCGATATTCATTCCCCGCCGTTGACGGGGAGAACGGGTTGAACTGCCCAGCTCTGCTGCCGCGGATCGTCACGCGTGGAGAGGTAAAGTTCGGAACATCATCGAGGCCGCCTCGATCAGGCATGTTCGCAGCCGTGCCAAGTACAAGTGAGCAAGTTTTACGATACCAGCTGATAGAGGTGGCACTGGCCAGTCATCACCGACGTCATCAGTATATGGGCAACTGAGCAACTTCTTGGATTTGCCGAGCGGCACTGCAGTGACTGGACCAACACAAGAATCCTACAGTTGTCTGCCTAGACGGCTCGAGCCTACTCCTGCAACTGTGCTCCTTTCCGCCCAGGCCAGATAATGAGTACAATGTCGGCTAGGGATGACCGACAGACATATTGGGCTGAAATAACGACCTCCATAGAGCACGCCTCAGGCGTTGATGACACTCGAAAACTACAAAATTGTCCTCCAAGTTATGGGTAGGCCCTCGACACCTAGTGATTCTGTTCGCGATGTGAATGGCGGCTTTATTGTTAGCAAATCGGCCAAGGTCGATCTTTGGCTTGAGCACTTATAGCACCTCAACTTTTATAAGCAATTCACCACACCCTCTCTCTCCTCTGCAGCGGAGTTTCGTCCCTCTTCAGCCTATGCCGTGTCATGCAACCCCCTCCGAGGGATAAGTTGCCGTTGCAACACAGAGGCTGGACAATAACAAGGCGCCCCGATAAGGCGGTATTCCCGCTGAGATCTGTAAGTCTTCTGTCGACATTGGCGCTCTGGCTCCACAGCGTGAAGATGAGGTAATCCCTAAGGACTGGGACAAAGTGAGAGGACTGTCGCGACATAAGCCTCATCGACGTTGTTGGGACCGTCGTCGCTGTCGTCCTTCTCAGACGATTCCAGTCTGCGTCCCTAGGGCGAGCCCTAATTTAGACGGATTCCAAGCTAGGCATGGATGCACGGACCAGTTATTCATATTAGTGCGCATTCTGGAATTCTGCCATGGCCACCAGCAATCGCCGGTCGTCGGTTTTATTGACTTCGCCAATGCGTTCGATTCCGTCTACCGTGAGTCCCTGTGGTGAACAACGGTACTAACTAGTGTGCCGGCCAAAAATGTTGCCACGATCATGGCCTACAATTACTCAATCACTGCAGGAGTTCTCGTCCGTGACAGTCTCTCTTAACCGTTCGATATCCGGCCTAATGTTCGACAAGGTTACATCCCGTTGCCCATTTTGTCCAACTACGTCACAGACTGGATTCTCAGAAGGCCCTACACGGTTTTGAAGGTATGGAGTTTGCACCTGGACGCCGGCTGACTGATCTAGATTACGCTGGCGATACCGCCTTGTTAGTCTCAAGCTTTGGTGATCTACAGTCTGTGCTATTATGGCTGGTTGAAGTCATTACTTCGGTTTGTTTATTCGTAAATGCTGGGAAGATCAAATTATTTTCACGTTGTATCACTGACCAGGAAGCGGCACTGCTGGGGGTTAGCGGGTATCATTTTAAATAGGAAGACTGCATCAAATACCACGTATGAGACTGCTGCCGAAAAGGCAGGGAAAGGATAGCATTGTCTCCCAGACCAATGCAGCCCACTGGGTTTTCCCAATCCGTAAAAAGTGCACGTTGACCAGTCGCGACATTTCCATTGTCACAAAGATCCACAAGTACCAAGCATCTGCCCGATAAGTCGTCCTGCAGAGTCTTGACTGCTGGGCTTTTACGCGTAATCATCGAAACCGGCTAGGTCAGGCATGATCACACCCGTACCAAGTATAAGTAAGGTTACAGGACACGCTCGTCCCGTTATTCCTTGAGGCTCAATCTATAGTTCTTGTAGGTAGTCGCAAAGCAACCAGTAGTATATGTGAATAAGGTAAATAAGTAGCCCATCATACATGTATGTATGTGAATATGTAGCCAGAGGGTAAGGCGATCTCTGGAAAGGATTGTTTAATCATCTGATGTGCATATGGATTGCGCATGGTAAATACACCCCCAAAAGCACAGGGTCCCATGAAGGTTAGAGTGATGCTCACAAGATGGTAACTGCCTTCGCCGGATAGATGGCTACAAGAAGACAGACTCCACGACGCATGTCCCTGGTCAGCCAGTTGCACAACTCGTAATGTAGCAATAACGAATTCCCAGCCGCTAACCCATGGCGAACCATTTGCTTGTGTAACACTATCAGGACCCACTACGTTGCCTCAACCCACCGCCATGTTTTATCACCTAGCATACGCTTGAGCCTAGGTTCCTGTCCGAGAAGCTTATCCTTAGCTGTTTATGTTTGATTTGATAACGACAGAAATCTAGTGTTGATAAGTACTATGAGGGCGTGCTTCTGCGCTATGTCGCTTCATGTGACAGCCCCATCTCCTTCGGGATGATGGAACTCTCTGCTTACATATAAAGGATGAATTATATTTCCTTATTGGCTATTCCGTATGTCGAAATTGGGAGAAGTTTGTGTCGTACATGCTTCTTTTCGGATAGTGATTGTCATCATGGCTGCTATCATTGCTGCCGTCATATATGAAATCACACTACTTATTAAACGATATTTAGATGTAAACTTCACTAAAACACTGTTATTAGGCCTTATTTTATTTCTAATTTCATATTTACTACGTTTTGGTATGGCAATACATTCTATGCATTTAAAAACAAACTTGACTTAATTAGAGCCATTTCTGACGTTTTCGGGATATTGCGCTTTTCAAAATAACTCGACATTTCTAAACAACGCAATACCGCCTATAATATTACTTATATGTTTTTAATTCTCTTAAACTTGTACTTAATAAACATAGACATTTTACTCATGAAATGGTGTCGGTTTGCGAGTGATTGGCAATCATTCGTAAATTTCGACACATTTCATGAGTTAGGTCACTAACTGTAAGTGGTGACACGAACTGGCGTCGCGTTTAGTTCCTGGCACATACGACATTTGTGGGATATCTTGTAAGGATTTTAAACAGTTCAGGATTTCCCGGGCGTGATAATATTTCTATGTTATCATCTTAAAACCCCTTTTCACCTCTAGCTTGCTGATTATTTGTTTTTTCGTTAGCTGGTCATGAATGACAATAAATCTCCAGTGACTACCCAGGGATGTCTCTTGTTCACAGTTATCCCTTTCATCCTTTAGTAGAAAATTTACCCACATCAAATCATTTGCATTTTTCCTCCCTTCGATCATTATTTGATTTTGCTAATTACGCTACAGATTTTTAATGTCTTGTTTTTTTAAAAGACGGCAGCTGGCATAAAAGACAACTACTCTCGGACAACTTTGCCACTCACAACCAATAAACTTATGCGCGAAAGAGTAAGCTCTTGTTCAGGGTTACCTCGTTCCGACTGTCACAGGATTTTGGTATTAAAAATGGACAGCCGCGGTCTTTAATACACAAGTTTATTCATCAGAGTAAGGAGACTCCGAATGGATGCGAATTTTGGCATGCGGACAACGCTGAATGCGTACATCAGGTTTGTCTGAAATTTGTCAGTAGACCTGATCTCTGCTGTCCTCGCAGCGGTCATATGCTAGATAATGTTTTTTCGTTTCGTTTTTCAATAGGTTACCTGGAGAGCTATAAACTTTTTCTTTGACCTCTGTCAGTTGGTGAACGACCGCCCGCCTCAACCGCCGCCAGCTTTTATGCATATAAATAGTCCAGAGTGTCCGGCACTGCCGATCTTCTTGCCTATTAAAACTGCCCCAGTGCCCGTGGCGTTTTCTCAGCCCAGCGTCTGTTCCGTAACAAACTTGCAGTCTCAGAACCCCTTTGACATCACTGCAGGCAACGGAGCGGATCACCGAAGCATGCCCTATGCCGGTCATATCGTCCTGGTAACTTTATCTTAAGTTGCTTAATTTCCTCCTCGCATGATCTCAGTTTTGTCTGATTTGTGTGCAATCACAAACAAGGCCGCTTCGTTTAGATCCCTCTAGGCCGTTAAACTCAATTCTTCCATGTTCAAAGAGGAAGTCTGCACACACACACCTCGAAAATTTCCCTTTAAATCGGTAGCCAAATTCTGAAGCACACTTTCTAGCCAGCACATTTTCTTAGCTAACTCACAGCACTTAATTTTCAGAAGAGCAAGCACTTTTAGGATGAACCTTGTGAACAACCATTACGGCCGGTTTAAACCACCAGGTGTGGATAAGCTATTTACACCAGTCGACCTGGATCTTCCTCGTATTGTTGTCAAAAAGCGGACTTCATTCATTTTAACCAGCTTCTTCTTGGCCAATTAAGTAACTTCATTAAGTCTTAAAGCAAGAAATCGGGACGTCAGTTTTATGGCTTTTTATGTCTGATGACGACTATAAAAGTAGAATACTTTTGCAGCTACGCCTACCGGTTTCGGAAAATTATCCCTAGTTAAAGGTTGGGAGCACTAATTTATCCACCCTCGCTTTCGAACCGGTTCTTGAGTTCCTGGGGTATGAAATAATCAACCAAGCAAACACTCTGGGGCGTGAATTAGCCGTCCAATTAAATCCCATGTCGTTGTCGATAGCCGTATCGCTCTTTGTGGAAGTGGTCACACTTGGGGCTGACACAAAAGGCTGATATGGCTATTTACAATGACGTGTCGACTAGCCAATTCGCAATGATTTCCCCTCTGAAAATTGGCCTGAAGATCACTTCGTAAATTCTGATAAGATATTATTCCCAATGATCGACTCTGCAGCTTTAACAGACGCAATTTCTTGAATGCTTATTTTCTACTTTCTCACTGCCCTTTCTGCCATTTGGCTTCTTACACTTTTTTCCCATGGTTATCTTGTTTGAGTTAAGAACCAGCGGTGTCATTCATAATTACTTATTTTGTGGGCTTCGTGATATTGCTTCACGGCATCACGAAAGATCGCCTTCTATTGCTGCCGGTGGGTGGCAGATTCCCGAACGAAGTTTAACCGTTTGGTACGTCAGTTTCAAAGATTGTATGACTCGCTATATGTCTTATTTCACCATATCTACATACATCTTCAGTCGGTCACTTCGCTAGCCACTGCCGGGTTTTGAGCGAGTTAATATACTAGACGATTTCGCCGTCTGCCGACAAAACGTGAGTAATGGGGCAGTTAGTCGGTTGTGTTCTTGGTCAGTTACAGCCGTTCGTTTGAGTCACTATTGGGAAAACAAATTCGAATTATGGGAAGCAAGCAGCTTCGATCGAAAACTTCCAGGCGCACAGACTTTTCTCACACCGCTAAGGATGAATTGTCTTAACGGAAGCCTGGTCTTCTAAACTCACATCAATTTCACAAGTTTCGATGTGGGCGGCTGAAGGGTACGCGTGTCTGGTTAATTTGCCAGTCGGTTTCATCCTTACGTTGTCCGCTTGAGAAAAAGTTCAACCCAAGTTAGCATACGATCCAAGAGTTCCATTCCGCATACTGTTGCTGGACAGGTGTCTCTTATGGCGAAGTCGGGGTATTCGCCTATACCTTGAAGAAACTACCTTTCTGGGCTCACTTCGGCTTCCGCCCGTGTCTGGGACATCGCAGGTTGTGTTTCTACCAAGGAGCTCTCCTGCACCTCAATATTACTGGTGTAGTCATGGCCCCTTAATGCACCATTCACGACCTACCATAATACACTAGTGGTCTGCCAACACGTTTCGAAGTACTTCCTGCCCCGTAGTTCCACATTGTTGGCACTGGCGGACACCATGAGTGGCATCAACTTGCCTGCTTTTCGCGACAGCTAAAGCCATGGGTAAACCCTAACCATTACCTCCGCCAAAACAGGTCCTAAGTAGCGAGAGAAGCTAGACACTGGTAGAGAGAAAGAGTACTATATTCTCCTTAAAACTAGTGGAATGTAGGTTGGAGCGCACAAGAGGCGCTTGTCCGACATGTCTGAAGTATTAGGGGGAGTATTAGGGCGCCTCGAGCCAGGTTATGTCTACATCGGCCGTGAAGTTAATTGGCTGGTCTTGGTAGCTGTGATTGGCCCAACACCAGCTTGTCGCAGCTACTTATATGCAAGTACACACCGAAGGTGCAGTTTTGCAGCCGGCGCCCGGAGTTGAGTCACTGCGCACTTTCTTCAGCCTTTACACAGACATCGGCCCCTCCTCTTTGACAGTCAGTCTGGAATAATTTAAGCAGCTTCGATGGCAGTTCATCACGTAACTTGGTCGACTACGCAGGATTTCGGTAAGGAGAGTTTTCGTCAAGTGGAAAAGCGAAAACCACAAAACAGACTGTTGGCAGAAGGAGCGGTGTTCGGGTACTCATCGAAAGCCACACTCATTCTTACCAGTGCGTTGTGGTACCGGCGGGGACGATTGGGGACGACTACAAAATTCTTAGCATAAATCTCGTGTGAGGGGGTTATATTATGGTAATTTGTACGCAACGGTCTGTCGATTTTCATGAGAATCGGTGCAGTTACATATCCATCCCAGCCTGGGGGTACGGCCTCTATTTCCGAAGTTACGTCGGAAGGCTCGTTACTTGGTCGGCTAGTACTGTCGAACAGCATTTTGAACTTTTCACCTTGCCAGGTGATTTGTTCTTCGGTTTACTACCGTCTCAAGGATCTCAACTAGTGGCAGGCGGTAGTCGCATTTGTATGTCGATGCCCTTAGGCTGGACTTCGGCTGAAGAATCCCAGAATGTCGGGTTCAGAGGCTGGGCAAAATATTTTCGCGGGAGGAATGGCTCACATGAACAGGTGTAGTATACTGCGGACGGTTTGAAGAGCGTGATCGTCTTACCGTTTTCCAAGCGCTTAATGCACGAGTTTATGGGTTCGGATGACTTGCCGGCCCACTCAGTCTTGTGCAGATTTATTTTTCTCCCATTTCGTTGCGTCAGTTTTTCGGCAGATGTCTGGCGGGGTTGGGAACCGTTTGCATGGTAGTGTCGTATCTATCGGTGCAACTATGATAGCTACTGCCTTGGTAACTCATTACCAAAGACTAGCTAATGCGCCACTTCCCTTTGAGGCCTACGTTTTGCATCAGTTTGCTCCAGCTTTCTAGTTTTTCCTCTTGTAAAATTACATGCTGAAACTTTAGTCATCTTTTCTATCAGTTGACACCCAGTGAGTACTCGCGTTTCTTTATCTGTTTTGGTGAGCCACGGTATATGGACGCGGGAGTTCATCCACCTGATACGGACCCACAGCGAAGGCAACCTCGGTTTCCCACAGGCCAAAGACATGATTCCCGTGCTGAGCAACTGCCAATTCTGCCAGTTTGGTATCGCCTTTCGTCCTGCTGAAATGCAATCTTACGCGCATCGTCTGCGCACCGAGGTGTTTGCCGCGACCTCGTCGAAGATTTCCACAAAAGGCCCTCATCAATGCCCCTACAACCTCAACCTGCCAAAGATGCCCTTCTACGCTGTGTGTTATCATACGCGGTTGGGAGCTGAGGACGTGAATGGCGGGCTCGTCGAGAAAGGGATGTCGCCTCCACCTTCAGAAATGCCCAAGGTCGTCCGTGTGGATGGCGCACAGGATACTGCCAAAGCCTCCCCGGCAGCTGCTTCCAGTGGTGTGGAAACACTCTTCTTCATGTCTGAAGATGACGAATATGCTGGGCTGCCAACACTCGCCCCATAAATGAGTCTGGTTCGTCGCCATTGTCTTAATCTAAGCTTGTCTCTAAATCACTAGGGGTACAAAAAGGCAAACAAGGTGAAACCGGTGGTTCAGGAGGCTATTTAAGTGTAGTCTAATTCCTTCACAAGTCACACGGTTCCCCAAGACAGTCGGTCATATCAGTGGCTTGCGGTTAAACGCGACGGCTTTGATTACCGGAATGCCGTCTTCGTCCGTGAGCTCTATTATGGACCCGAGAAAACGAACGAGATACACCTTCTCCGCATACCTTCAGTCATGTGAACTTTTTGCCCAACCTGGGCACTTAAGCTAACATTCAGGTTCGAGTTCAGCTGCTACTCGAGCTGCCCTGCGCTGGACACCTCTTAAACACTGACTTTGAGTCCGAGAGGAGCCAGTGGTTTTGCGAACAAGTTGGCGAAAGAAGCAGCGACCCCACCAAACTAACTATTAGTCGAGTCTTACCGAGGTCGCTGAGCTTCCCTCAGTTGGGTCAACGTAAAATAAGTCGAGGCCCTTTCCCCCATTGAATACCACTCATTCTTCATATGTGGCTTAAAAATATTTTCTGCACGGTTACATTCGGCGGACTCTTGCTGGTCGCGCGACTTGCTTCTCCCATCCGGATTGCGTGGTTTTCGTTTAAGTCAACTACTGCAAACTGTCCTCTACAACCTGGCGCAGACGTCACCCAACATAATCAATATCAACAACTTTGGCCGGGAAATTGACATAAAAAAACCTCCCATTACACGCGGTAAGGGACTAACAAGGACTATCAACAGAAAACGTCCGAGGGTTATATAGGCATGAACATGAATGCACGCTTTTGACTGTGTGATTGCCGAGTCCCGAAACTACTCAACACAGACGGTGAACGCCAAGATCCCTGTCAGTTGACCTCTGTGGCAGGCACTGCTCAGAGGGAGAAATGTACAATATGCACTTTGCATATTGTTGCCTCCCCAGGTACCTGCTGTCCTACCGGAAGGCGCACCAGACAGCAGCACATTTGCGAAACGGCACACCTCCGCGTTACTGGTTTGCAGAAACTCCGTGTCTTTGGTAATTCATATGATCTAGATTGGCAAACCACAGGTCCCGAATGTAGGACTCTAAGTTGGGGCGGAATAACACTTTGCCGGTGACTCGCCTCTAGGTTGCCGACCGGTCGTTTCCTCAATCCTGCTTCTGGACTGACACGACAGTCGTAGCTGTCTACTTAAAAAGGCTCACATGATAACCGGATCTGAGGTGGATCTGGAGTTTGGTGTTGGATACTGAAACACCGACTAAACAAGGATCCACCCAACCCAATTATGTAAAATCGGGGGCCCCAGTGGAATTCGAATCGACGACGGCAAGGACAAGGCTCCCAGTCGGGGGCCTTGTAGCTTGGGTGGTTGGGGCGTTGGCTGTACTCAGTCTTGCCTCTGTCATGGGTTTACATCCAACTGAGACCGCCGTTTTTCACAACTGGGTCAAATTAATTATTCGAATCTGCCAAAACACTTATTAAATAAGGATTGCCTGAGGCCTGAGCAGTCACAGATCATGTGTCGCATCTGCTCATGGTGTCATTGGATCCGATACAGGTTCAAGTGTCTACAAGTCGTCATGTTGTTTCAAGTGGTATATTTACAGTGGAAAGGCAGTGAATGCAAGAAGTAGTTGGGAACAGTTCAACTGTTACACATTTAGGGAAACCAGATACTAGTGGAACTGTTAGTCGTAGTAGCCCTCGACGCCGTCGCCATTGTCGTCACGGAGGACGTTGCCATCATCAATATCGCCCTCCCCGTTATCGAAGTACGTTTCGCAGTAGTCATTGTCAAGCTCCTCGTCCTCGTCTTCCATCTGTTCGCCATTCCAGCGGGCGTCCTCGGAGTCGCTGTCACCACCCTCTTCTCCCTCGAGACCTAGTCCCGCCTCGGGGCCGTCGGCGGCATCGTCATCTGTAAGGTGGTGGGGTGAATTTATGGTAGGTGAGTTAACTAAGACCCTATCCACTTAGGCAATTCCATTATCCCAGTGCATTTCTAAACTTTTTATTTAACTACTTACTACTAGGGCCAAGTCTAAAATACGAAAAGAGTCTTCGTTGCGCAAGGGGATTTGCAATGTCGAATTTGACCCTGAGTAGGGCGAAACAACCGCATCGATGGTACAGATGGCCAGATCGTCGGAAACACTAGCCAAAAATCGTACAGTAGGGACGGGTCAGGTATTAGGTTAAAGGCGCCTCTGGGTATTTCGCGGCTGCTCGAGTCTCATGAAGCAACGTCAATGATTCTTCGTAGTAATCTAGTTCTTTGCATCATATTTAACCGTACATTAGCTCGTCTTATAGGGGCACTAGTTGTGCCTGGTGTGACTTATCGTGTCTGGTATAAGCGGCCTTGATTATGTCGCAGACTGTACCTCCCCACGCAGAACAACTTGTGACAGCAAATTAGGAAAATTCGATCTACCCTCTCTCATACCGATATAGGTCAAATACCGAAGGTCCAATAACAACCTCCATTTCTTGACGGGCTACGTTAGGAAAAGGAGGCGTTCACTGGGTAAACACGTCTCCTTTTGCCGTGCCTCCTGAGACTGTCTTTGGCCAGGCTCCGATTTAACCTTTTCATCGTCTCCGGGTGAGCAGCGGCGTCGGATCAAGTGCAGTAGGTAAACTCTCAGGGAGGGCAATGAGAGATGTTCAAACCATGTTAGCCCTCTTTCTTGGCTGTCTTGGGGTGTTGCAGCCAGTGTGGACTGTGTGATTCGAGACGGAGTCTATGTACTTCACTCAGGTCCTCAGGCAACAGTTGTCGAACGACTTCCCAAATTCCGTACGCACACACACGCAGGTCTCTGTAGCGACAGAAATACCGCAGCGGGTCCACATACAGCCAATTTCTGCAGAAACACTTAGAACCATCAATTTGGGCGACAGCCACTTGTCCTGAGGAATGTGTTCTCTTGGTCACAAACGCGACGCAAAGATAGCGTCGATGGATGAATCGACTAATCTACCTCCTCCACAGGTGAGACAACTTTCTGTGGTTCATTAGAGTTTGAGGCTAGAATGGCGACATCACCGAAGTGGTCGATGTCGTCAGCCAGTGTTTGGATGAAAATCCGACGTTGTCAAAGTCGTGCACAAATTCCTCAAGAATCCTGCCAATTACGTAGTACATCGGTATGAACGGCAGGCAGAATGATACCTTGCCGCACGCCAGACCAAATACCGAATAGTTGGGATTATGAACTAGAACCATCGTGGATTTCAGGAATGCGCCGCAGTGTGTACCCATGTGTCGTCCTCGAGACGCGCAGGCGGGCGCACTATAACTCAGCTGAATTCGGCCAGGGTTAATGAGAAGGCGTCCGCTGCCGTCACTGTACACAACGCTCTGGCGATGACTGCGACCTTAGCCTTCACTTTACGACTGTGAGCTAGGACATTATCGGTAAACGGTCACTAATTATTGGAACTAATGCCCTTGCGCTTACGGCGAGACACAGTCGATTATTGACGCAAAACAGGAAATTGGTTAGGCCGACATTGGGCAATCATTTCCCATATTTCGGGCGTCCTTATTTTTTCAATTGCCCTTTAGACGCAACATCCCTATCGATCACTGTAGACGCACAGCAGGGAACCACCAGTGCATAACAGTGCCAGTTATTTCGTGCGTGCGTCAGTCGGCAAATCAGCGAGTCCCTTCTCTGCTTGCAGTTCGCGACGGGTCTTTGTCCACCACTTTGCTCGAAAGCCAACCAATCAGGGTGCGCTAGTTAGGAAACACCCCTAGGCGTATATATGCTGCTCTAGGGCAGAAGTAGTGATTGACGCAGCAGTTATTTTCCGTTCCCTTTCGTCTTCTGTTCTACTTAACGGCTGGCAACAGACAACTTGGGGACGTAATACATGGCCAATCGTATGCTGTCAGCTAGCATGTAGAACAGAAGACAGTGACAAAGAACGACTTTGCTGTCAATCAATTTGCGGGCATTTGCGATCATTATGTCCCGAGGCGATGTACATAAGCTCAGTGGCGTTTTCTAACTAGCGCGTCCTTATTGGTCGGCCAGAAGTTGGTTTTGTAAAGCTTCAGGCGTTCTTTTGGGAGTTTTATGCAATGATATCTTTCCTTTTGTAGGTAAATGTCCTCCACTGCCCCCCCCCCCCGCTTAACGCCAGAATAGCAGCCGACAAAACAAAGGTCAGTGTTTGCTAGACGCTGCCGCAGACGCCAGATTGCAGTACCCCTCCTGTCAAACACACGGACCAAAAATTTCATTTTGAGAAAGTGACGCCCACCTCCATTTCACCCCCAATGTCATTTTGTGGAAGCAAAAACTGGTGCGAAGTTCACGACCAAAGCAGTTTTGTAACTGTTGCTCGCCGCCCAATAAAACACCATGCACCACCGCTAATCAGCACCGTCAGTCCTTTCTTACCGCCAATATGTATTCAACCATACGTGTCCGAAGTGGCTTTCCAGTCTACCTAGCGCTGCTCCGTTTGAAACTGCACTGTCATATTCCCGCCGTCCATTATCGAAAACCGTAAAAGCATGGGAATTCAGTCTTCGACTGCGATCTTTTTAACGTCAGTATTTGTTTGTAGAAAATGGAATTCAAATTGCGAGAAACCATCAGTGCGTTGTATACGATGACAAGGCCCCTACTCTCATCTCCAGCAATCTTTATAGGTGACTGTCTGAAACGCATAAACAACGTCTGGGACCCACTACCTCCATTTGTTGTGGTCACATCTGCGATGGCTTGGTCAGAAATCAGATTGTCGAGGTCCTCTCGGTTGTGATTAGCGCCGGTTGAGGGTTTAAAACGCTTTTCAGGGAGGAGCTTGGCTGCCTTGGCCCTAAGGCGAGAGCTCAATTCCGCCGGATACCTAAAATGCAATTGAAAAACGCTAAGTATAGGGGTGACTGGTGGGTTTGACGTCTTTTTAACGATTGTTTACGTCCAGAGAGACGTCTAGAATTTCGCCTATGCCGCAATCACATGCCGATGGCGGTACCGTCTGGTTGAATTCTTACGACGCCTGAGAGTTATACGAGTTTCTCGATTCCCTACTGCCTATAAGTGAACTCTGTTCAACGGCTGTCAAGGTTCGAGCAAGCATACGCATCGAGACGTAAAGAACACCACCAAAGCCCTTACAACGGGCTTGACCTGGCCGCCGACAATGAGGCCCTGTACAGTGACTCTAAATGAGACGATTTGCCATCGTTCTGGTGTAAATCCAACGCCTTCAAACTCGTGTACGGCCCTCTCGAGAACCCAGCCGAAAATCTAGTTAAGTTTTTCGGGCGAGACTATGTTACCTTATCGAACAGCAGACAATTTCGAACCGCCGTGGGCAAAAACCCGCGCAGTGGTAGAGCGATAGTAGGTCCCAGTCACTGGCTATTGCACTGCCCAGCCCTAACGGTCGCCATTAACTCGTGGTGAATGGAATAGAAGGCCGCAAAGACATAAAGAATGCAAACCGACGTCAGTTGCCGGTGGCTATAACACACTTCCAAGTTGCACCATAATAGGCAAATTTGGTAGGCGCGTTGATTTCCAGCTTGGAACTGAGTCTAGACTGGCCTCGCCCTAAAAACCTCAACAATGAGGCCGCGCAAACCCTCGTTGCAAGTTAATAACCTCGCCACAGACTTCGTCTTATTACCTTTCCTGGGGGAGATCAAAGGGATTGGCATCAGTCACCAGGAAAATCCTATCTCTCACGCTTGCTCGACCACCTTATGGAGCCAGGGCGCCGGTACCGATGCCGTTCTATCTGGGTGTCTATCTTGTGTCTGTAGTAGTTATTTCTTCCTGGGACGAGACTGCCCACTTAGGAAGGAAGTGATGTTAGTGGTTGACTGAAGTCAAGGCGACGCTCGGAGTGCTCACGCCAAAGCGTCGCAAAGATCCACGTATGTCAGACTCCCGCCTGAGCGGTTCTCTGCGACGGCTGTGCATGCCAGGCTACGGGTATCGAAGACGAGGGAAAACTGAAGGTTCTTGACTATCTTTGCCTGAGGGAAGCCCGTAGAATGACGTACATTGACTCCGCTCCGGACTAAACCACTCGCGTTGATATATCACCGCGAGGATATATCGGGCCATTGGCGAAATACGACTAAGGTAGTTAAGGCACTTTCTCGGCCCACGGGCGCCGTGTCGCCGTTCTGGAACAAATGCGTCTGCCTTACTGAGGGCGGCGCAGAGTTCAGCTAAAACCTGGCTAAACACATTTCATCAAGGCATGGAATTAGGTCCTGGACCTTCGGACACTCGATCTTCGTTGTGGCGGTCGGGCCTGTCAGATCCTCGGGCGTTGGTCACCGAGCGCGTACAGGAAGTAAATGCGACAGTATGCAGGCTAGCTAGATCAGGCGTAACTACAGCTGTACCGAGTATAGGAAGGTGGCTAGGTCTAAACTAAAAAACACCTTGGGAATGAACTGTGGGACGATTATGACAGCCCACTGAGTCGATCGGCACTAGTGCATTCGACCGAGCCGCAAACTGTGGTTCGTAGGCTGGGGAATACGGGTTTCGGTGGAAAAGTCTGACGAGAACTTCTCATGGGCAACCACAGTCCCGGACCTTGGTGACGACCAGAATTTTAATACCTGTGTAGCATGCCGGAACCTTTCACTAACTGATGCGGATATGTGATGATATAATAACATGAACAAGTAGTTGCGCAGAAACTACGGAGGTTTGTGATAGAATGTGAGCTGAAGTCTTGTTTGGAACTAGAGTAGCAACAAACCGCTCACCAATCAGAGGGATTCGAAAAGCTACCAAGAAGAATCCCATCACTCCACATTTCAATTTCACGATGCTGAAGAAGGAGATGTGAGGTGGTGATGTTCCATGCCGTCTGCTTCTTAGATTCTGAACGCTTTCTGTCCAAAGTAAGGAGCGGAACGGCATCGGTGTTTTTTATAATTTGCTGAAAGTATGGTCCGTTCTCAAATATGAAGTCAGCGACCGCCTGCAATTCAAACTAACAAGTAAAAAGGGAGAGCCAATTAGGACGATCTACCCAGTTGACACGGCAGCAAACTAGAGCATCAGTAGCGCATGCAACGCAGATGTTAGAGCAGGGCAGTACTTTACTGCGGCTCACCAATAGTTTCAGTGCTGTAGTTATCTTACATGGCGTAAGTAAGAAACGGGACTGTGCCAAGTATAACCTTTAAACTAACCAGCTGGGCCCGAAAACATTCTTGTTGAGTCGGTTCCGCCACTGCGACTTGGGATTCGGATAACGGAAGCGAAGATTCGATTTTCGGAGGGGCCGAGGGTATTGGAATAAGACGGCTTATAACAGAATGAGGGTCAGGTGAGACAGGAACGGCATGAGGGTCGAATAAGCGTCGCTTGACGCCATCTCTTAAACTGTTAAATCCTGAACTCACACCACCGCGCCGACGACCACGATTCATTCCTGGTTATTTTTGAAAATTGAGATTTTTTGAGTTTTAAATCAAAAGCTTGACTCAGGAAAAAGTCGTGCATCTTTAGTAAAAATATATTTACAGGCAGGTTATACAGCATACCGTGGACGAAGTCAATCTGCTTCGACAAGGGCAGCTGCTCGGGCAGCCTTAGCCTTTCGAAGTTCCTTCCTTCGCCTTTTCTTCTCTAGTCTTGACTGGTGGATCCGAATCAGATCTGATTCGGAGTTGGCTAAATCACGTGCTAGTTTGGGGTCCTTTAGTTTGACGAATCGAGCGTCCGCAGCTGCCTCATCCATTTCCGCAAGCGTTATTTGTTCTTTCTCCTGTCGGGATGTGTCGGCAATTGAGATCTTCGGAGCGACCGGTACTTTTTCGGGTGCCGACAAAAAGCCGAGCTTTTCGCGAATTTTATCAAACAACTGGGTAGACACAAAGTACCCATGCATGTAGGCCCGGAGAAAACGTGTGCCGATGAGATCCAGCATGCCATACTCAAGAAGCTGCTGTCTAGTAAGGAATTTATAACCGTCGTACATGGTCGTCACATCCGGCTCACACTCGGTCACAAGTTGATCTAAGTAGCTGCACCAGTATGGAGCTGAACCCAAAAGTGGGATAAAGTATTTAGACACTTTGGGTGACTCATTTGCAAGCATAATCAGTCCACTCGATGGAAAATGGTACATCCAATTCAGGCCGATTGGTCCGGTCTCAAAGCCAACAAATATTTTTCCACTGTCAATATTCCAGATTTTTAAACAGTGAGCTACCATGGCAATGACTTTGTCCTCTTGGAAACTGACCGTTTTTACTGGGCGCCTATACTCAGTGTCTCTCGTGTGCCATGGACTCCTGTTTTGTCGGACATCATAGACGTGCACTAGACCTTCGGATGTTCCGATGGAGAAATTTAGTGGATCCTTGGAACTGAGAGAGGAGCACGCCATGCGCGAAAACTTGGCGAGATCAGCTGGTCTAGGCGAGGCCGAGCACACATCCAATCCGAAAACCCTTTCGCCGCTTCTTAGATCCCAGCCGTCGACTTTGCCGTCAGTAGAGCCGGCCAACAGAACATCCAGTTCGCGCATGAGACAACTGGTGTTAAAGCCCTCTGGCGCGGTCACAAATGACGATAAGAGCGGTGTCGCAAACCTGCCTTCATTCAAGTCCATTCGATAAACCACATTTCCGGAGGAAGGCACAAGAAGGTGGCAATTAAAAGGAGTGTACGATATATCTACCCCGGGTCTCGGCACTCTGAAACGAAAATGGTGACCACCGGCAGCATGAATGTCAATCCACCGCTCCTCCTCCAATAATGCGAATTTCGAAAAGTCGTCACTTAAGCACGTCATGCGTGTTGGGAGATAATCCACACAACGATCAAATTTAAGGGACAGATTTTTCAGCTCAAAGCATTTTACTCTCGGCTTGTAACGTCCAAGGACGAAAAGATGTTGCTGATCTGGAGAGCAAGTGATAAAAGTAGACGCATCCGGCATCTCAAGCTCATGAATCAATTCTATATGATTGGAAGCTCCTGGATCCTTCTTTAGAAGCTTTTTCTTTTCCGATCTTGATGCCCATTCAGGCAATGACCTTTCAGAGGTCAAATTGTAAACTTTAACCCCATTAAGTTTTACTACGTTCATCCTGTCGCCCTCGTGACGATGGAAAGTTGGGACACAGCATATTTTAACCGTGGCACCCCTCGGGAATAATCAAACAAGCTGCTTCAGTTACTCATGTTTCTGGTTTTATTCCGCAACCTGGCATTTTGCGTGTCGTCTTTGTGAAAATCCGAGCTGATAGGAAACCAAATTTAACACTTATGTGTTTTCATTGGAAACTGGTGGGAGGAACTTTTGCGTAGATTGCACGTTTCGACTGCTCATATTGTTTACTGAGCCATAAAAGCGCATGTCGTGGGACTGGGCTAAAGTGAGATCGGCGGGTCGTGATCCAGCTCGGAAATTCGTCCACCTTTTTATTTTTAACAGAACCAATTATTTATACTGCAAGTATTTGCGGCACAGATGGCGCGAGGGCACACGTTGCATAGATCAAGTTGTCCAAACAATCGTTCGACGAACGACTTACCGTCATTTGTTTTCGGGGTCTTGGATGGACTGAATGGCCTGCTCAACTCACAAGCCTTGGCCCCGCCGATTGTCCCCGTCTAGCCCGTGAATACTGTGGGCCCAACAACTATGATCTCGATAAATGGTCAAATCCATCCCAGGCCTCTGAAAACAAACAAGGAAAATGGTTCATATTCAGGATTGCTTCTATAACTTGATTTACGCAAAAACGTACCCACACTATCTGTACTGGAAAAGTGTCAGTTTTATTATTCAAGTTTATCAAAAATGAAATCGGATAAATCCTGGGGCAAGGCCTCGGTCACGTCCACCCTAGTTTAGCCCAGTCCTTGTAGAGAGTACGTGTTTGAGCACGGACACGACTTCCTCATATGCTCAAATCATTTAGTCTTGTTTGCAGAAGGTTCAGACCCCATTTTCCTCTTGATTATATTGTTACTGTTGGCGAGTTGTTATATCATGCTGCTTGCAAAGTGAACCACTGTTGTCCGTTTTTACCGGACGAAATAAATCGACTCTTCCCCCTCCCATTCACACTTGCTTCATCGTAGCGAAATAGCGTGTCAAGGAGACATGATAAGATCGGCGATCAGGATAAGGACGAACAGCACCAACTGATAAAACGACAGAAAGTCGAGAAAGCAACTAATGTCCGAAATGCAGTAACAGTACTACTGTGCATTGTTCTGTCGGAGGCGATTAGACACCGTTTGTTTTACTGAACGATGTGAGTCCTGATCCTTGTTTCCGTCCTTTTCTGTTTTAATTAAACCTAGTGAACGCGGTGGACCGCAAAGAGGTCTCGGGGTCTCCGGCGAACCCAATGATGGATCCGGAAGCGCAGGCCGAACCGAATTGAGTTCTCCAGCGTGTGGAAATACTGTAGATCGCTCAGCTCGAATTTCGATGTTTTTGAAAACTATTTACTTTAATCGATTCTACTGTCCTGCAGCATGCCTGATTCACAGTTTACTAGGATAGATGATAACGAATTGACTGCTGAGGACTCCAACTCATGAAGCCACAAATCCACAGGGTGCGCTGAGGAAAATTTTAGCGATTGCTTTACCTGTAGTGAACTGAAATCTGGTCCTTCGAAAGCGCCGTTGCGTTTGTTTACGAACTTGTCGAAATACAGCTTCATCACTCTTGCACGTAGTTCAGTTAAATAAATAGATAATTTTATTTTAAGACCCTTGGATTTCCCGCCACGGCAAGTAAATATAAATTTTCAAGTAAATTTTGGATCAATTAGACAGATTTTTTACATTATTTTGTTTTCGGTTATAGAATAAACAGTTACTTATAGAACGGTCAGTGAGCAGGGAGAAAACTCCTTATGAAAATACCAGATGATTCTGAATTGGTTAACATGTAAGGAGAAAAAATTGCCGCTCATTAACGGGAAAATATGCGGGTCGAACAAGACTGGCCTGTGTATGGCATTTTATAAGTGGTTCAAAACGTAAATCGTCAAGACAGAGCTTCCTAAACCGAAGGAGGTTATCCGCCTCAAAATGGCAATACAGGGGAACCTAGACGCGATCGGACACAGTCCGCTTAGAGTCCTGCCGAGGATGGGACATTAAGCTCTAGGGCGGCCATCATAGCATAGACGGGAGAATGCGACCCTGCAAACTCTTCGCTGACCGACCAAACTACGAACAAGGGACGAAAGCAGAGGATTCACGCCGTGATCGTCAGTCGATCATTTGGAATCGAAATGTGGAGTTGACATGAAGATCCGCGGGGTGAGGGTTCGAAATCACGGGGGGCAGAGTGGAATTCCGACGAGTGTCGACGATTGGCCAAAATGGGGCAGCTTACAGCGTGCACGTTAAACCAGCCACGTTCCTTCTTTGAGAGAATTAGTCAGGAAAGACATCACATTCTGTGAGGGGAACGATGTTTGAACCGAAAAATCGAAAATATTAAAATTTCCGATGAAGGATCCTAGAAAGCGAAACTATACACAAAGGAAAGAAATGCGAGCGGATACGGATACTTTAGCTTTCAAAATTGACCTACGGTCTCTACAACGACGCATATAAATACCAATATTCACATTGGCATATGAAGTCAGCTGACATCGTTCGACCTCCTCTATAGCATACTTACGCTTAGATTAACTAATGTTCTACAAACTGACCAGCGTTGGCCGTAAACGCAATTGTGTTAGAACTCTCATACAACGTGTTCAAACACACTGTAGAGACGACGGTGGGAGGAAGGAGAAGGCGCATCACTTACAGCCCCTTTGTAAAGCCAACGGCTACCCGAAGTCCTTCATGCGCAATTGTGTCTAAAAGTCTGTAGTGACATTGAAGTCCGTTTTTTTTAATCAGTTACAATACGCTTCGGCACAACTTTGAATAAGACAAACAACACGCACGTGCACTTTTGCCTGCCGACGACTTTGTTCTTATTTACTAGTTTGTAACTGTTGGGATACTGCTATTTTCGTATCCTGGATAGCCTACTCGCTGTGCCCAACTAGTGGGTTTGTCTCTTACACTGGTGACCCTGTATCGTTCATAGCTCCTTCTGTTTAATCTCTGTGCATAACTATTTCCATTCGGATTAATCCTCCCTCTAATTTTTATCGATCAGATTATTCATCTAGCCCTTATTTGCTATCCACACTGTCTCACCCTTTCATCCAATACGAGCGCTACCCTTCAGTCTCACCGTCAACGCGCCAGTCCTTTACCCCATTTATCTGACCTCTGACCGACCCCGGCTAATTATGTCCAGCGATTCTAGCAGCCAGCCGATAGCCGGCATTCACACTTTTGACCTGCCATCCGTGTGGCTCGGTGACATCGCGTTATGGCTGCGCACTGTAGAGTCACGATTCGCCCTCCGTCAGATCACACGAGAGGATACGAAATTTCACTATGTTGTGGCAGCACTCCCAATGGACATCGCCACCGACCTCCGCGACATCATAGATTGCCCGCCCACAGAAGCCCCTTATACTGCCCTAAAGGAGGCTCTCATTTCCCGCATTTCCCTCCCAACGCAAAAACGTCTCCAACGCTTAATTTCTGAGGAGGACCTCGGTGACAGGAAGCCTACGCAGCTTCTTAGGCGTTTGGAGCAGTTGGCAGACGGACAAAAGCTGGATGCCACCATGTTCAAGCAACTTTTCCTCCAACGGTTGCCTCCTTCTGTGCAAGCCATCCTTGCGCCTAACATTCCTTCTTCGACTGTTCAGATGCTCGCAGAGACTGCTGACCGTATACTCGAGTACTACCAGCTTCCTGTTACGGTTAACGTCGCTAGTCGAAGCACAACTGCCCCCACAATCGAGGATGTCGTCAAACGCCTGGATGCCCTCACTCTCGAAGTTTCCCAGCTCCGGGCCACTCGTGTCTATAACCCTCGTAGTCCTGCAATTTCTCGCCGCCCGAGATCTCCCACTCCAAACAAACCTACAGTTGATGGTTTCTGTTGGTATCATCACAATTATGGTTCTTACGCCCATCGCTGCCACTCTCCGTGCAAGTATAAAACACCCGCGTCGGAAAACCCCCCTGCCGACCAGTAAGGGCGACGAACGTGGTCGGCACATCCTCTCCCAGTCGCTTACTCCACATCTATGACAGGACTTCCTGTCGTAATTTTCTCGTGGATACTGGTGCGGAGATCAGTCTAATCCCACCCACCTTGACTGACCGCAAGTCACCAAATTCTTCATTTTTCCTCCAAGCAGCTAACAATACTTCTATTAAAACTTTTGGTCAACGATCCCTAACACTAGATTTGGGTCTAAGACGTTCATTTCGTTGGCTATTTACTATCGCTGATGTCCATACTGCCATTCTCGGCGCTGATTTTATATCCTTTTTCGGTCTCCTCGTTGACATTAAGTCCCATAAATTATTTGATCCTAAGACTTCTTTACATTGTAATTGTTCCACTCGTACCCTTGCATCACCTAATCCACGCATTTCAACAATCCCTTCGTCTACTCCCTATCATCGTTTACTTTCGGAATTTCCGTCCATCACACGACCTTCACAATTTAACCAACCTATCAAGCATTCTGTTGTACATTATATTTCAACTACTGGACCACCCGTGTTTAGCCGTCCCCGTCGTTTAGCCGCCGATAAGTTAGCCATAGCCAAGGCTGAATTCAGCCACATGATGGAGCTAGGCATAGTTAGGCCGTCCACTAGTCCATGGGCTGCACCTCTACATATGGTGTGCAAAAAGTCTCTCGTTGACTGGCGCCCATGCGGGGATTACCGACGGTTAAACACCTCCACTGTGCCTGACAGGTATCCACTTCCCCATCTCCACGACTTTTCATCTAGCCTAGCTGGAGCAACAATATTTTCCAACATCGACTTAGTCAAAGCCTTCCATCAGATACCCGTTGCTCCAGAAGACATTCCCAAAACGGCGATTACAACACCGTTCGGTCTGTTCGAGTTTGTCAGGATGCCTTTTGGGCTACGCAACTCCGCCCAAACTTTTCAACGTTTCATCAACCAAGCCCTCCGCGATCTACCGTTCGTTTTTGTCTACGTCGACGATATTCTGGTAGCAAGTTCCAGCGAACACGAGCACCTACAACATTTGCGTCTCATTTTTGAACGATTGAGCCAATTTGGAGTTTTCATTAATGTTTCTAAATGCGTTTTTGGCGCACAGTTGCTGTTTTTCCAAGGACATCGCGTAGATGCTTTTGGTTGTCACCCCATAGATGCCAAAGTTTCAGCTATTCGCGATTTCCCTACTCCCACTTCTTTTCAACAACTGCGCCGTTTTATAGGCCTTGTCAATTTCTATCGACGTTTCATTCCTCATTGTGCTCAATTAATGCTACCACTTACTAACCTTTTACGCGGGAACAACCGTGAGTTTTCTTTACCTGACACAGCTGTAGAGGCTTTCAATCGTGCGAGGAAGGCTCTTGCGGATACAACTGTCCTTGTTCACCCTATACCTGATGCCCCACTTTCCATTGTGGCCGACGCCTCCAATTTCGCTATAGGTGCTGCCCTTCAGCAACAGACGCCCACTGGCACCCAGCTCTTGGCTTTCTACTCTGTCCAATTGACACCCCCACAAACTCGCTATAGCACTTTTGGTAGAGAACTTCTTGCAATTTATCTAGCCATTAAGCATTTTCGTAATTATATTGAGGGCCGAGATTTTTGTATTTATACTGACCACAAGCCTCTTACTTATGCCCTCTCTACTTCTTCTGACAAGTATTCACCCCGCGAGGCCCGCCATCTCGATTTTATTTCTCAGTATACCACCGACATTCGATTTCTTAAAGGCCTTTATAATAAAGTTGCTGACTGTCTTTCTCGGCCTGGCATTAATGCCATCACCCGCCCTTCCATCGATTTGGAGCGCATGGCAGAACTGCAAAATCAGCCGACTTTCAGTGAGAGCCTTCAACACACTAGTCTTCAACTCGAAGCCATTCCTCTTTCCACCACCCCCGGTACAATCTTGTGTGACGTATCGCGCGGTGCCTCCCGACCCGTAGTGCCAAGCGAGATGAGACGAGATGTTTTTGCCGCGTTGCACAATCTAGCTCACCCTGGCATCCGCACTACCCAGCGCCTCGTCAGCGAGCGGTTCGTTTGGCCAAGCATGAACACTGATATACGCCAGTGGACCCGTTCATGTTTGGCCTGTCAGAAGGCCAAAGTCGGACGGCACAACAAAGCCCCCATTGGCACTTTTCTCGCACCCGAACCACGTTTTTCACATGTCCATATCGATCTGGTAGGTCCCTCTCCAACATCTCGTGGTTGCAACTACTTACTTACTGCGACTGACCGATTTACACGTTGGCCCATTGCAACTCCCATACCTAACATAACTGCAGATTCCGTTGCTCATGCTTTTTCGGAACACTGGATTTCTCATTATGGCGTCCCCTCAACCATTACCACCGATCGAGGTCAACAATTCGAGTCTAGACTGTTTAACAGCCTTACCAACCTCCTCGGATGTTCTCGCATACGCACGACAGCATACCACCCCTCATCCAACGGTTTAGTCGAGCGTTTCCACCGGCAACTCAAAGCCTCGCTCCGAGCTCATGAAAACCCTTCCCATTGGAGCGAGCATCTGCCTTTGGTCATGCTCGGTATCCGTACCGCACTCAAGCCCGACTTGGAGTGTTCCGCTGCCGAACTTGTCTACGGTACTACCCTACGGATTCCAGGTGATTTTTTCGGGTACTCTCAAAGCTCAGCCGACTTGGATCCCAGCGATTATGTGCAAAGTTTGCGCCAAGCCATGACTCATCTTCGAGCCACTCCTCCACGTCCTTCAACAAGTAAGTCATACGTCGAACCAAACTTACTTACATGTTCTTTTGTATTTGTCCGCATAGATAGCGTTCGCCGGCCACTACAACAGCCCTATGACGGCCCATTTCGAGTACTATCGCGCAAGGACAAGTACTTTACAATTGACCGTGGAGGCCGCACCGACGTGGTTTCAATCGATCGCTTGAAGGCGGCATATACCGAGCCTCTTCCAACTTCTCCAATCGAACAACCTCCACTTGGCACATTGCCACTTGCTATTTCCCAGACTCCATTTACGCCCAATAACCCTGCGTCTTCCCTTATCCCACAGACTCCTCTCCTTACGCGCAGTGGTCGTCATGTCCGTTTTCCCGAACGTTACCAACTTGTACAATATGCATAACACTCCCACATTTTCCTTCTATTAACAATATTTTTTTTGAACTCCGTTCTCCTAGGAGGGGGAGTATTGTAGTGACATTGAAGTCTGTTTTGTTTTAATCAGTTACAATACGCTTCGACACAACTTTGAATAAGACAAACAACACGCACGTGCACTTTTACCTGCCGACGACTTTGTTCTTATTTACTAGTTTGTAACTGTTGGGATACTGCTATTTTCGTATCCTGGATAGCCTACTCGCTGTGCCCAACTAGTGGGTTTGTCTCTTACAAGTCTCATTTTGAACGGTCGAGTGTAGAAAAGCCCTAGTTCTGACTCTCAATACCCTATGTGAAAAACGTATAAGAGGCGACGGCGAGAATACTAAAACCTTTTGGGATTGGCGCGTCTCATAAACCAGAATGTCCCATCAAACAGTAAATCATAAATCAAAAGACCCGCTACCAACAACGGAACAGTTGGTGGCGGTCTACAGCATACCATGTCTAAATTTCAATGAGAGGTATGTTGATAAAATGGGCAAACACCTCGATACAAGATTGCACGAACACCGACTTGAGATCAACCGCAATGACCAGCTTTATTTGGTCTATGGTCACATACGAAAGCTAAAACACGATTTCGCATTTGAGAAAGCAAGTGTAACAGCTCGAGCCAATGAGAAGGTGGCCAGACTGGTGCTCGAAAGTTGATCCTCGACTGGCACACTTCATCCCGTCTACCAGACGCCGCGTACAAGGCTCGGATCAGTCCGGACAAGACCAGTAAAGCAAGTGAGCACGCGGGCCCGAGGGTCAACGCTCACGGAAAAGAGTGGAGTTAGGGGTCAGGAGTCATGTGACCAAAGCCGAACACTGTCTCACCGATGCGCCCGCGAAGTTGAATGCTGCTCACACGAAGAGCAATGACCGATCCGTCCACCGGTTGACGTGGGAAAATCCAAACGGCACGCTGATCTGACTAATATGTGTGTATATATATGTTATGGTAGTGGCGTTGGCCGATCGTTCTTACGGAGCTCACTCATTCTTTTGTGCCTTATGGACTCTCTCTCGAGCCCAACCAGCAGCCAAACAGCAGCGCATGGTATAGACAGAACGATATTACCACACCTCGGGGTAGGGTATGACTGGCTGACGACGGCTAATAAGCCAGAAATGGCAATTCCAGTCTCCCTGATCTTTCAATTTGTATATATATTTATATGTAACAGCAGTAATAATAATTGTATTTAATGCCTCTTTGCACACTCAGTTAAAGAAAGATAAAGCACGGATCGAACTGACAGTGAAAAACTCCTTACGAATAAATACAGGGGATGGTGCTTTTAAAGTTTTGATGGTTCAGAAGACGAAACCGCTGCCCGTGAACGTACGGTAGCCTAAAAAGGAGTGGATAACACTGCTTCGGATATTTGCAGTCTAAACTCCTCCCAACGAAATTGGTACTGGACCAAATAGAGGCACTGAAAAACCGTTCTTCACTGACGGGTGAGGAAACTGTACCTGGCGAGACTGGCCAGAAGTATCATGGACCACGAACTCCAACAATAAGGCAGATTAAATCGGTGGATTCAGCATCCTAGATATGTTGGAGATTTTCTAATTGCAAAAAGAACAATAATTCTTTTAAGCAAAGAATGATTTCATATAATTTTTGCATCCATGTGTAAGCTATTCCAAAAGGTAACTGTGCTAATAGAAAAGAAACGAATATATTTGACGGAACGTGCCAGAGGAAGAAATAAAAAGACCGCACGGTGACTTTTACGTAGTGGGTGGCAAAGATGTTTTAAAGTAGTAAGTGGGTCAAAAATATGATCATTTCAAAGCTACAACAGCACGAATAGTTCCTTTTGTAACCGACAAAATCAAAAGGAAGCTAGGCCGGTAAGCTCGCGGCGTTGCTGGTAGGTCAAGTATTGGCGGTATAGGGTTAAAACTCTCCTAGTAAAAAGTGTTTGACAGATACTATTTTCTTCCGCTCATCAGGACTCACGAGCCTAAATAAAAACGAACAGTATTCCAGGCCAAGTTTGACGTACAGTTCACGGGGCGGATCATAATACCGCTAGTTTTAACATTTGTAAGTATAAACCCGGTCGTTCTGCGTGCTCTGGAGACTATCAGGACGCAGTGTTCCGAAAAATTAAGACTCTTGGAGGATAATATGCCCGGATCCTCAATAACTTCATGCAAATTTACGTCGTGACCGTCAATACCTAGTTGAGGCTGATGGTCATCGCCAATCAACATAACTGATCATTGATGCCAAGAAGGAGAAAGGCGCCATGTGCAGCACCACTGGGCAAAGACCTGTAGGTCGCTCTTCGTGAGTTCGAGCACCGTATCACGATCTATATACACCTTTCATAGCATCGGCATTTATGGAGGGCTTATCATTCTGAAATTAATCTGACACGTCTTTGACAAACAGGCAAAATGCGACTGGGCCAAGTACACCGCCCCGAATGACTCCACCCCTCACGCATGTTGAGCTGAAGATACCATTGGAAACCTTAATTCGTTGTGTGCGAGCGCCCAGATAAGAGGATATCAAATTCAGAATTTTACCAACTACTCCAAAAGAGGAAGCTTTTTTAGAGAAGAAGAGTATGGTTAACACGATCAAAAGCCTTAGTGAAGTCGAAATAGACTGTGTAAGGTGCAAAAGCATTGTCCCTAAATTGGAGAACACGATAAAAGAGACAGAGAGTTGGCAGGTGTCGCAAGACCGATCTTTGGGTGATCCATGCTGAGCAGCGATCAGTAGGTTATTCTCTGTTGAGGAACACATCATCTTTTTTATTCTATATCTCTAGGTTGTTCGAAAGTGCTGGGAGGGTGTTTATTGGCCGAAAACCATCATATAACAGAGTGACTGTTCACGAGGATAGGTAAAATGTGTGGTTTCTTCCACAAAGTAGGACAGGTTTTACTTCCAAGAGCGAGATTAAATATCAGGCTTAGAAGGGATGGGAAAGTTATATTGGCATCCGTTTTTCGAATGTTATCTGGGACACTAGCAAGCCCAGGGCTAAGAAATTGACGAAGACAGCGAATCGCTACAGTCACGCCATACGGGTGGAGAGTTTTGGTTTTTAGAAAGGTCCGCTCAATGCCTGGATGGTCGGAAACGGAGCGGTCGAGTTTTTAATAAAACTTTTGAACATGTAAGCATCGAAACTGTCAGCGGTCAAGTGGGCGCCTGCTGAAGGAAGTCCACGAAAGTCTCGGAGGATGGGAAGCTGCGTTTTTACATGAGCCTTTACTTTTCAAGGAAAAGTTCTGCGACGTTAAATAAGCGGTCTTAAGAGAAGCGAACCACTTCGGTTAGCCGCCTTTCTTCTGACAACCTCTTAGCTCACTCAAAAATATCACATCACAGAACGGAAATATCCTTCTGAAGGTGGGCTCGACAATAAAGTCTGCGTAACCTATTGCGAAAGGGGTTGCCGGTGTAGTCGATAGATGTTGTTATATACAAGGCGTGTTGTTGCGTTGGAAGGTCTCAACATCAAGACTAGTGGAGTTCACTACGGGATTAACAATGTCCTGACGTTATGAGACCGAGGATGATGTTGAAGACATGAAAAAAAGGGGCCATTATGTCGGCGTTGTCCTAAACACTTTCAGGTTGTTTAGTCTTCTGTGCACTGCTGTGGGATCCGGGAACACAGAGCAACGCCATTTATGACAGAATTCTATGGTTATCTCCTTTCCCGACAAGATGAACTCGACTACTACCAAGGAGAAGAGAGTAACTAGTATCTGCCAATTAGGGCTGAGTGAAGGCAATCGTTTAGCTTGCGCGACACTCAAACCTCAACCACAACTTTGCAGAAACAAATGTGCAACCTTAATAGCAGACATGTGAATCGGGATGCCACGCAGTATAAAATTACAAGTAAAAAAATAAAGAATGGTGTATATAAAAAACCTATCGTGGTCCCATCAAAGCAAATAAATCTTTATATGAATTTTAGAGGAGGTATACAGAATCTGTACAAAGTGCAGTTCATAGCTCCTGCATTAATAGTCCGTTGAGAAAAATGATGAGCGGGCAGTGAAAAAAACTCCACTCAAGAATTTAAAAAATGACTGGATTAACTTTACAGGGGCAAAAAATGTCGTTCATGAAAAGGCAAAAAATGCAAGCAAGACTGGCTTGTACGTGGCGGTGCATAACGGATTATAATCGGACATCGTCAGGGCAGAAATGAATGTCGCCATGAGTGGTACGTATGAGCGTCAGATAAGACTGGCCTGTATGTTGTGCTGTACAAGAGATTCAAAACGGACATTACGCGATGTAAACCCAGATATCTGCGCGGCTTTGGCAGAGATTCTATCTGCATGAGGAGATAAAGGAAGTTTACTCGTATAAATTAATCCTAAGTCCTTTATGGTGAAGCATGGTGAAATTAGGTTATTCTGAACGATTATGGGACCAGGGAGTTTGGCAGCACTAAAAGATTTGAAATCAAACTTGTGTAGTGACATTCAAGTCTGTCTTGTTTTAATCAGTTACAAAACGCTTTGAAACAACTTTGAATAAGACAAAGAACACGCACGTGCACGTTTACCTGCTGACGACTTTGTTCCTATTTACTAGGTTGTAACTGTTGGGATACTGCTATTTTCGATTCCTGGATATCCTACTCGCTGTGCCCAACTAGTGGGTTTGTCTCTTATACTTGGATGATGAATACTCCATTTTCCATGTTGAACCCCATCTGCTTGAGCGCGCTTAATCGGCATTAATTTTTCAGCACAAACATTTTCGATGTCCATAGAATATGAGTAAGCGCATTTTAGGTCGTCGGTATGAATAAAAGTTTGCGAATTTTTGAGTTAGGTCGAAATATCATTGATGTAAAGAAGGAAGATTGGCGGAACCTGAACCGTGCCCTGAATTACGTCACTTATGATCGGGCAAGGTGTCGAGTAGCTATTACCGACAATGACCTTCTGACACCGGTTGGGCAGAAAGGACTCAATGAAGTCGAATAGAGGCGGCCGGATGTCGAGAGCTTCCAATGTTACTAAAAGACGTCTATGGGGCAACTTGTCAAAGGCTTTGCTAAGATCGGAGTAGATAATCACCACTGACTGGTGTTCCTTACGAAGAGAAATGATTGGATTACGAAATGCCCAGTGGCAAGTTTCGTAGGATAGTTCAGGTAAAAATCCATGCTGATTAGAGCTCAGAAGCCGGTTAGTTAGACAGAAGTCAAGAATTTCATTGAAAATTATCCTTTCAAGAAGCTTTGCCAGAGACGGCGTTTCGTACGCGCACCGATAGTTATTAACATCGGACCGAGATCCAGACTTCAAGACGAGAATGGTAATTGACGTTTTCCACGTTTCGGGAAAGAATCCTTTTGAAATATAAACTGAAAATAAATGACTGAGCAATATGGGGAGGTCAGGTGCCTGTGTAATAATCGAGTTTGGAATCTCGTCCATTTCTGAGCAAAGTGAATTTTTCAAACGACTTCTGTATTTCTTAATGAGATCTGAGGAGACATCGATTGTACTGAGCGTCCTATCTGAAAGTGGGCGAAAGATAGGGACTGGTTCGGACTCATTATTAAGGTGTTTTGCAATGAGAGTACTAAACAACTCCGCCTTGTCAGCATCAGTAATGAGGAAGATTTTGTTATCGTTAAGCAAGGGTGGAAGTTCGTGACAACGCTTAGAGGAGGACCGATGACATAATATGTTAGCGACGGATTTACCAGGGTTTGACGCACTGAGGGCAAGTGAACCTATTTGTTTCTCGCACGCTTAGCGCATCCTTGAGGCCATTTCGAAAATGTCTGTGATTCTAAGATGAAATGATAAGGAACTAGTGGATAGGTCACGCAGCTGCCGTCCAGCTTTTAGTCTGTTGGGAAGAAAATGGGGAACAAAGGAGTCTGAAGAATAAGGCTTGAGATATCTACGCAGCACAAACTCTAGGATGCTCTCGGAAACATTGGCCATGACGTCACGAAGAATGGTTGCATCGCTTCAGGAGAGGAAGCCACACCAGTCTAAAGATCTATAGAGTTATTTATTAAGTCATTACCTACGCAATCGTAGTTTAGGTAAGTCCGAACCATACTAGTCTTGTTTTGAAAAGGGAAGCGGTAAGTAAGAATGAATTAATACGTGGTCGCTGTCAAAGAGGTCCTATTTGAAGGCAGAAAAAGAGGGCCGAGGTCATTGGTAAAATTTAGATCTGTATTGTTATTATCTGTTGTTCAAGAACGCACCAGTTGGGACTATTAGGAAAAATTGACAATAGCCTGGAAGGGCTGGAATCCAGGTGGACAGATATTGAAAACCCAGACTATTTCAGGAAGGTTAAAATCCCACTGATTATTTTAACATCGAAAGCAGCTTCTGAAATTAATTTAAACATTATACGGAGTTGTGGATCATCACTGGCTGAGGTGTTTGGGGGATTGAAGGTACAGCCAATTAGTGCCTTTCTTTGCGGCGGGAGAATAACATATGCAAAGCTGAGGTTTCCTGTAAATGAGGAGACATCCAGGCAATAGGAAGTGTGCTTTAGGTAGAATCTAAGGTAAAGAATACAACCACTCCCACGCCCTGTCGTGCAGTTTTGAGGGTAAACATCTAAGGCATCTATAATAAGAGCAGAGTCAGGAATTAGAGAAAGGATCCGAGAGTCTGTTATGCATATAATATCAGGCGTCATTTCGAGAGAAATGGCTCTGAATTGGGCCATTTTGTTTATAGCAGGCCGGATACTATGCTTACATTTCGTCATCTTCTCAATTTCGTAGCTCATTACGCTAATAACTTTGAACACTTGTCCAAAAACTTTGTTGAATGTACTGATTATGTCGCCGGATATCAAGTGATCCAGTATTTCAGCTGATAGAGTTCTGTTACGACTAGCAGAGACGTAGTTTTGAACGACTAAAGAGTCAAAAGGTTCTACATGGACTAATGGTATTTTTGAGCCAGCCATATCTATAGAAGGCTGCAAAAACACGCTGACACCCACGGTGCCTCCGGTCATGATTCTAACACTGAGGAATGGCGAGGAGACCGTGAGCTCTCATCTTCTAGCGAGTTTTATTCGGGGCACTGTAAAGTATTAGACAGGTTTCTCCCTGTGGTACAAAAATCAAAGGATTGCTAACATACAATAAAACACACAGAACAGCAAATACACTGCAGATTTACTACTGTAACTAGAAATAGGGGTTCGGGTGGCTGACACGGAAAAACATGCACCTAAGCATACCATCACTCTCCCTGGTCCCAAAGGACACAGATCGGGATTATATACGCCAAGAGAAAAATTAGGCGGCATGTGTCCCAAATAACGCGGCGTGAACCGGCAAATAGGCCTGCCACCACACCCAAATTTTGGTATTTGCTTTGGGCAAGCAATCCCGACAATAGATAGATAGATAATTTTTATTAAAGACCCGTCGGGGTCCCATCAAAGCAAGTTAAAATAAATTTACATGCGAGTTTTAGACGAGGTAGGCCGAATCTTTACAAAATGCAATTCATAGTTTCTGAATTAGAAGTCCATTGAGAAACATGATGATTGCGGGGTGAAAAAAAAACTCCTTACAAAAAGTTAAAAATGATTGGATTAAGTTTACCGGAAAAAACCCTCAATAAAAATAATAACAGAAAAAAGGCGAGCAGGACTGGCCTGTAGGTGGCGGTATATAACGGAATGTTGTCGGTCATCGTCAGGGTTGCAATAAATCTCAGCCTTGTGAGGTACGAATGTGGGTCAGACAGGACTGGCATTGTATACGGGATTCACAATTGAGATCGTCTGGGCCGGATAGATACGCCGCATTAAAGAGGCCAGACGAGAGGAACCCAGATGCGATCGGCCACAGCACGCTTCGAGCTCAACCGAGCAGAGGGGAAGGGAGGTACGACCGAACTACTAGTAGACAGTGAATACTGAGGATTCCGCCGTGAGCGTCGACAGACCGCATGAGGTCAAATTGCGGGAGATGACATCAAAAACCGCGAAAATTGTCGCTATGGGGGAGGAGTGATGGCAGTGGATTTAGAAACCAATTCAAAACAGGGGTTTCTAATAATATAAATAAGAGTTACCACTAGACCTAGCACTAAATCCCAGGAGGACCCTACTCGTATTCAAGTATCAGAGTGTTCGGGAATGAGACCGTTACCAGTGCCTTTATGCTTTCCGGTGTAAGATGTTTACGTAATTTCGACTTGAATACCAGTAATTTAGGATATAATCTAATTTCGGGCGGACTAGGAGCTGGACTATGAGTCGCGTCGTTTTAGTTTGCCTGCCTCATGCCCATTTCAGTGACACGCACACAGCCGACGGGTTGTCCGACCATGAAACTCTCTATCAAGTGAGATGGTGACGGCCGACACCATTCGCATGTTTAAAAGAAAACTTGCTGGTGTAATTTTAGGCGAGACTGGTTTTAATAACATGACTGCTCACAGCCAGATTAGTAAAAACATTGCTATACACAATCTTTCAAAAATGCCTCACGGTGCACAGATGTGTTTCCTTATAATTAATGTTGGTTTGTGAACCGATCACACTCTAAGGGTTTGAAACATCGTTTTAAGTGCGAATATGCGACATTATTGTAGACAAATAGGGTTATCAAAGGATCTGCCTCTAAACTTTCAAATGCATACATAGATAATTGCCTGGCGCAGCCGGTCCACCACTTCGGTTTACCGGGTGCGTAAAGTATGTGATGACCTTGCTGTTTTATTTGGATTTTCTCTATGAAAGTTCGAATCTCTGTATATTTTTCATTTCTGGTCTCCGTTATACAACGACAGGCTGCAGTTTATAAGCCGTCACGGAATTTAATGATTGCAATAAATTCTGTTGTCTATGTATGTTTCAAATGTCTTCTGTGTCATGCATGTATGGTTGTCGATTTCTTCTACACCCTTTCGCCTAGATGAATGCGGCGGCACGTTTAAAAGCTCTCTTCAGCCCAGGATTAGCCAGAATTTATTCCCAGTGTTCCGCATAGTCGGTGCGTGCTACCTTCGACGTCATCAGCCGCTACAATCTCACAAGAGCATCCTCCCCGAACCTGTACAAATTTGTCCAATTAGATTATGAGATATGAGATACGCATTTAAACATGGTGTGCAGTTGGGATGGGGGCCTTTTGATTGTAACGCTCCATCTCATCGATACGGTTGTATGAGTAAGGAAACGCTTTTTAGCACCTGATCTAGGATGGAGATGACGTAACCACGTGCTGGTGAAGATGGCCGGCGTCCCCTCCTCTCGCTACTGCCCACGCCCTTTCAGCAACGTACCGTGACGCTCGTATTGTTCTCCCTCTCTCTACGTCGACACCTCCTTCAGCCCTTTCTTGCAGTTGCCCACAGCGCTGCGTTCCCCACTGGTTTATTAGCTGGCATGTTGGTATCGCCTCTCCACCCAGACAGGTTGCTCCACAGTTGTAACCCGTCCTGCTTGTACTATTAACTATTAGTATCCGCCTTTCCAACCCCCATATCTGCCCATTATACCTTCTCGTCTACTTGGCGTTGCTTCTTCTTTTCTGTGCGGATGAGTATCGTGACTTACTAACGGCCCTATTCAGGTCAACGTTAGCCAGGGTCTCTTGCCAGTGCTTCGCTACTTGGGTGTGTGCTACCTTTGACGTCCTCGGCCGTTACGTGATGACTAGGGGGTAGTACCGGCACATAATACCGGATCTTCGGCCTTTTGGAGTGAGCTTTACGTTGGAGCTAAGTTGGCCTATGTGCCAGATTTGAGATCATTGGGAAATGTTGACGTTATTAATTGGGGAGGATAAATTACGAGTCAAAGCCCTCTGAGGAGCACACGTCCTCGTCTCAACGGGTGATGGGAACATTGCCCAGTCCGAGGGGTCGTTCATATTTTCCAGCACGACTGACTAACAGTGCTGCACTATTTCGAGTGTAGATTGCGCGGGCGCGTTCTTTACGAACGCATTTACGTAGACTGCGCTCAAGAATCAGTCTCTCAACTAAAATGCTTCCGTTATTTTGTTTTCCGAGGACCGAAATGAACTGAATCGTCTGCTGAGATTCCAGCGACTGGCCCGCCGTTTGGTCCGCCCTGGGCCGGTCCATTTCAGACCTTGGGAAGCTAATGAGGGTCATCTACGCTACAGGCGTGCCCGCGCCATCTGTACTGCGAAAAGTGCAGTATTATGCATCACTTATGCTACAACTAAAATATTAACAACCCATCGAACTGCACCATGTCCCACCCCAGTTTCACTCATCCCTTGAGTCGGAAGCACGTGCCAGCGTGGGTGTTGCGGATCGTGGGTTAAGATTTAACCTTAGCTTATCCCCAACCCCCTCTCCATGAACGTTATCCAGTACATCCCTGTAAGAATAAGCGTTCTAAAACCAACATCTCATTGACCTACAGCATTCTTTTTGCACACGCCGCGTTGAACTCGTTCTCTGAGTCGCCCACCAGCATTAGCCAGATTCCCGCTTGGGTGCTTTTTAATGCCAGCTGGTGGTGGCCGATTAAATAAACTCAAACGAGCAATTAATATACACTTGGGCACTCAGTTGCTTTGCTTAAGCCGAGGTTCCATGCCTTCGAACGATCCGCTGCCCCAGGCTTACCAACCGGCTGCGCTTTAAACGGACAGTCTCGAAAATATTAGTTGTCGTCGAAGTTTGTTACGAGCGAAAATGCTTTTTGCCGGTTTTCTACGTCCTGTACGTTGCTGTCAACTACGACTCGTGTTGTGCGCTGATAGACGGGAACTTTGTTCTTATTGTCACCGAAGTCACTTTCCTTGTCCTCTGCGCCCGTTTTATTTTCCGAACAAATTCGGCCAATCTGTCTATTCTAGCCCACTCTGTCCTGAAACTCCGTTAAAATTCAAGTATTTTCAGTGCACAGGCATAAAACAAGGCATCAAACTTTTTTGGTTCTTCCCTGCTGTCGATTTACTGCGATTCTATGTGGAAGACCAATCAAAGTTTAGAACTACCTCAGCCTTTAACGTTAACATGGATTCTTGAGAGCAACATGTTTTTGAGGATACGGCTTTAAAATAAGTGGACTGTAACGATCAGTATGTCCTATCTACTTCGTGTCTTATTTCAACCGTTGTGTCTCCATTGACACCATTTACATGTCTACGTCCCCTGTAGCCCCTTTGAGGATTGAAGCTGGTTACTCGAAATCAGCAAACCAGTCAAAAACGATGCAGTCCTGGGACAAGGAAATCTATAACTACAAGGGAAGGTGCGAGTTCCAGGAACTAGTTGATCAAAAGAAGAAGAAGAAGAAGAAGAAGAAGAAGAAGAAGAAGAAGAAGAAGAAGAAGCGATCGCTGGATCAAGGGCTTTATTCGCCTGACGTTTCCGATCCTCACTTGAACCCAGCATCAGAGACAGTGGCGGAAAAGGGTGACTTGCGCACAGGAAGTTGCAGTATTTACAGGATTCAGTCGCTGTGCTACTGCATGCCTATAGCAATTAACCGCGCTCCCCTTCATCAAGGATTGCTGCTCGCTGATGCGCTAATTGCTCGGTGGCGGGCATGCGAGTCGCTACTTGCTGAAATCTCATCACCCGTGTTGGGTGCTGGCGTGGTGATTGCTCGGCCATCTGACTCACCGTCTTGCGCGCTCCCCGAGTGGTCAATTACTTTGGCCAGCCTATACCTCAGCACGGAAGATGGAGTGGGGATGTGGTTGCACTTGTTGATAGACTGAGGTCCTGTAAACCATGACTCAAGCAACTCGCTGCTCACGCGATTATCCCCTCTCGCGAGCATTTCGGCCTCATCGAACTTGAATGTGTGGTCGGGTCTCGTCGGATTGTCCGCGACCTGAAAGTTGGCGTAATTTCCCCGTACCGCTGCCACCTGTTCGGCAATTCGCGTCCGGAGCAGTCATCCAGTTTCTCTGACGTAATTGCTTTGTCCGCAACTGCACGAGATCCGGTAAACGACTGTAGATGTTTCTTGCCGTGGCAGTGGGTCTTTTGGTCTCATCACCTGACGCCTCATGGTGGCCTCCGGTCTGTGTGCAACTCCAACACCAAGTGGTGCAAGAAAGCGACTGACGGCCTCGGAGACGAGGACATCAAGGAATGCCAAATTTCTGACCGCTGATTCGGACACCACCGTCTGTTTGTCAACAAAATTCCTGGAGAAGCTTAAAGGAGTAAGTCTCTTGCCAAATGAGGTCATGGTATCTTTTGATGTCACGTCCCTCTTTACTCCTATCCCCCAGGATCTGGCAATCGAGACCGTCGAGCTACGCCTACGAAGCAAATACAATAAAACAGAGAATCGTCTCGGACATGCCCAAGTCCTTCAGCTCCCAAATTTCTGTCTCAGGACGTACTTTACGTTTGACGGAACAATCTACGAGCAAGTGAAGGGAACACCGATGGGCTCGCCGATTTCGGGATTCATCGCCGAGGCGATCCTACAGCGGTAAGAGTCGCTGGTCTTCCAACACCACAGACCGAAATTCTGGGCTCGGTATGTGGACGATACCTTCGTCGTCATCGAATGGGATCAGGTGCTAGCATTCAAAAACGTCTCAACAGCGTCTTCCCGGACATACAGTTTACGATGGAGGAGGAAGAAAATAACCAGCTAGCATTCCTTGATGTCCTCGTCTGGCGCAAACATTGTGGTGGCCTAAAGAGCAAAGTGTTCAGAAAAGCGACGAACACGACGCAAATGCTGAACTTCAACATTAAGCACTCGACGCAGTTGCGTAAGAACGCTTTATCGGCCTGTAAAGACGCACTGCAGTGAACCGGAAGACAAGGTTGCCGAATCCCAATATCCTCGACGGGTTTTCAGAGGAAATGTTTACCCGCGTAACTTCGTCAACCGGTGCATGCGCAAACGAGACGATGGACAAAATCGTGCCGACCCCAAATTCTGACGAGCGGTCCCATACATCAAGAACGTCTCCGAGGCCGTCAGTCGCTTTCTTGCACCACTTGGTGTTGGAGTTGCACACAGACCGGAGGCCACCATGAGGCGTCAGGTGATGAGACCAAAAGACCCACTGCCACGGCAAGAAACATCTACAGTCGTTTACCGGATCTCGTGCAGTTGCGGACAAAGCAATTACGTCAGAGAAACTGGATGACTGCTCCGGACGCGAATTGCCGAACAGGTGGCAGCGGTACGGGGAAATTACGCCAACTTTCAGGTCGCGGACAATCCGACGAGACCCGACCACACATTCAAGTTCGATGAGGCCGAAATGCTCGCGAGAGGGGATAATCGCGTGAGCAGCGAGTTGCTTGAGTCATGGTTTACAGGACCTCAGTCTATCAACAAGTGCAACCACATCCCCACTCCATCTTCCGTGCTGAGGTATAGGCTGGCCAAAGTAATTGACCACTCGGGGAGCGCGCAAGACGGTGAGTCAGATGGCCGAGCAATCACCACGCCAGCACCCAACACGGGTGATGAGATTTCAGTAAGTAACGACTTGCATGCCGGCCATCAAGCAGCAACAATCACGCAAGCATCCAACGCGGGTGATGAGATTTCAGCAAGTGACAGCTTGCATGCCGGCCATCAAGCAGCAATCATCACGCCAGCATGCAACACGGGTGATGAAATTTCAGCAACTGACAACTTGCATGCCGGCCATCAAGCAGCAATCATCACTCCAGCATCCAACAGGGGTGATGAGATTTCAGCAAGCGACAACTTGCATGCCGGCCATCAAGCAGCAATCATCACTCCAGCATCCAACAGGGGTGATGAGATTTCAGCAAGCGACAACTTGCATGCCGGCCATCAAGCAGCAATCATCACGCCAGCATCCTACACGGGTGATGAGATTTCAGCAAGTAACATCTTGCATGCCGGCCAGCGGGCAGCACTTCTTGGTGAAGGGGAGCGCGGTTAACTGCTATAAGTAAGCAGTAGCACAGCGACTGCATCCCTTAAATACTGCAACTTCCTGTGCGCGAGTCACCCATTCCCGCCACTGTCTCTGATGCTGGGTTCAAGTGAGGATCGGAAACGTCAGGCGAATAAAGCCCTTGTTCCAGCAATCGCTTCTTCTTCTTCTTCTTCTGAACAAGGAAATCTATGTTGTCCCTGCTGCACCAGTTGGATCGACGTTTGCGCTTTTCGTTCAGTTGCTGCAAGGCTAACTTATGTTTACCCTTTAGGTCCCTCAAAAAACGGTGCCAATTCCTTTTTCTGCTGCTTCGACTAGTTACTATAAAGTTACATTGGCTGGCCGAAGACAACTATGCGGCTTTTTCGCGGCTTCAAGATCGCGGTAGCGCTAGCGACCGCCGGATCAACCCTCTTATCGATTAATGAAAGTATAGAATCCTCTAACTTTGTCGATTCTTACAAGCAGTTGCTTCCACAATCATCCAAATGTTATCACTCATTGGACAGTAATTCCGCAGGTTAGTCTTCAGTTGCGTTTTCGTTTTTAATACGTTACTCGCGACGAAAATCTTCAAGTTGTTGACACATAGAGTCCTTGGACGCGTCTGTTTGCGTTTGCATTCTTAGTCTATTCAATGCGAGAGAAGAGTTCCTATTTATCGAGACCGGATAAACCGGTATCATAAAAAGGCTTTCTGCAGCCCTCTGGAGGGGATAGACTTCATTTTTCGTACGTATTCATAGCATTAAAAGAAGCACAAAATATATAGAAGTACTTATCCGTCGTTTTTGAACAGTATACCTGCCAACTCATTTAATTTTTTAAGAATATCAAACATTATGCGATTGTTAGTCCTTTATCTATGATAAATAGTGTTTTTTGACTGTCACGCATTGATGACTGTGTGCTTTTCCTACGATTCAGTCTTTTTCTGTGCTGAGAGTTGCACTCATTTTCGTTTTCGACTCTTCTTGACTATTTTAAAACACCGATTACTGTATGTATGTAAACTTTTCTTTCGCCCACAAATCAGATCTTGGGACTGGGCAGTGTAGTTTAAGGTACCCCCTCTCCCCACCACACGATAATTCGTCCACCGGTGTTAGCGTAACTACTATTGCTTGAGGAGAAAACCCATTTTAGTGCTCTTATTTCGAAGCCTATTTAAATATTTTAGTCAGTGTTTTATGTAGTCCCGCGCATAATTTGGGGAGAGGGAGCGGAACGAAAAGCTAAAGTATCAGCGATACAAATATAAACGCTTTTTATGAACCACAACGTTCTTTATTTATCTTAGTTCTTTGTTCAGTTGAAACTTGTTTAATGTAGGTGTGCTAAGTACCGACCTGCCTAGGCGTGCACAGTGCTGCGAATTTTCTTGTTACCGTGGTCACAACGGTTAAACGTTCCTTTAGTATGTAGTCGAAGACGGCCATGTTCTCACGCCTGATCTGTACACGAAGCCTAGACCTCCTATCCCATTAAGGAAACCCGTCAGACGTGTCATAGACCCCTGTGCACTATTAATCCAGGTAATCGTATGGTATGTTATTCATGGAAACATGATTCTTAGACCACTGGCGTTTCGAAACTTAACAGTGCCCTCTGAGTACTTAACAACGAATTCTAGCTTTTATAATTAGAGACCGTTGAGAAGGGTAGGCTGCTTACGTTATAAATGCTGTAGGTGAGCGCAACATCTTTTCTTGTCGTTCTGAACATCGGCGGAGATTCAGAATGCGTGTTGGTTAATTAGTCCCGTTGTTCGGTCACAATAGACGTCCCCTATGGCCTCATATTTGACGGCAGGACTTCGAAATCCAGGACCTAGAACGCTGCTCCAGATTCGTACGGCTTTGGCCCTTTGCTAGCTAATCGTGAGACACATAAGCCTTAGGTTACTTAAAGTACTGGCTGCCAAGGGATTTCTAACTCCTATAATACTTAGGTAAACACAACCACTTACCAGCACTACTACTACTA